TTTTTTTTACTTTGTATAAGTAATTTGTCTTCCGAACTAAATAATTTTTAATAATGCAAATCTGAATACCATAAATACACCAAATATACGTTTTTGATCACCTGCGATTTCCACAATTTTTTGTTAAGGTCTTAATTCCATCTTGGTCGAGGTTATGTTTATTCCGTCTATTACATACCTTGGAAAATTTGCAAGTGACACGTTTTTTAAAGCAAAATAATGCCAGTCATATACTGAAACTCCACTGAAACACATTATTAACATGAATGTTTTATTAATCAATATAATTTTGGATACCCATGGGAATATCGTAAAACATAGAGTTTTTTTTTTTTAATATACGGTAAATTATGATGATATTCGAAGAAAAACAGCAATCTTGTGTGACACATACAACAACACGGTGTAGAATAACTCCAATAAGCCAGTGAACGCTTCACCAGTTCTGGGTCATCACCTGACAGTGTCTCTGCTCAGGAGACACTGTCTGCTTTCTTAACTAATAAACCACCACCATTCTTAACGTGTTATTATTATTATTATTATTATTATTACTGTTACTATTATTATTACACTCATGGGGGAGCGCTAAACCCACGTAGGAGTTGCAGAGGGTCTGGGGAATATGAGGTAATCATATTTAATTTATAAAAAAGGAGAGAGGTCTTTAATTTTCTTTGTCAGGAGCCCCTCGCCAGTATCAGGGCCATTGAAGACACTCTTCACGTAGCTTTAATTGAAATCGGAGATAAATGGCCCAGAGTCGACAAAGGGTGAAAAAGGCACAACTGCACAATGTAACTCTGTTAAGAACATAAAGATAGAGAAACACTGCAGCAGGCCTACTGGCCAATACATGGTATGTCCTCATCAAAACCATCCATATATTTGAAACATTTCGCCTATTGAGAGGCATCTTCAGTTCCTCTCTGCAAGCTGTCTCCTTTCCACCTCTCCTTTAACTAAAATTAACTAAAATCCCACACAGCTGTAACCAGATAAACTCACCCCTCGAAGCGACCTTTACATTTTCTCTCGCGACTCAGTCATCAGAATGCATCACTGCATTCTGAGAAAAACCAGAGAGTGTTGTCCCACATGAGTAAACCAGAGAGTGTTGTCCCACATGAGTAAACCAGAGTGTGTTGTCCCTCATGAGTAAACCAGAGTGTGTTGTCCCTCAAAAGTAAACCAGAGTGTGTTGTCCCTCATGAGTAAACCAGAGAGTGTTGCCCCTCATGAATAAACCAGAGAGAGTTGCCCCTCATGAGTAAACCAGAGTGTGTTGTCCCTCATGAGTAAACCAGAGAGAGTTGTCCCTCATGAGTAAACCAGAGAGAGTTGTCCCACATGAGTAAACCAGAGTGTGTTGTCCCTCATGAGTAAACCAGAGTGTGTTGTCCCTCATGAGTAAACCAGAGAGAGTTGTCCCTCATGAGTAAACCAGAGAGTGTTGTCCCACATGAGTAAACCAGAGTGTGTTGTCCCTCATAAGTAAACCAGAGTGTGTTGTCCCTCATGAGTAAACCAGAGTGTGTTGTCCCTCATAAGTAAACCAGAGTGTGTTGTCCCTCATGAGTAAACCAGAAAGTGTTGTCCCACATGAGTAAACCAGAGCGTGTTGTCCCTCATAAGTAAACCAGAGAATGTTGTCCCACATGAGTAAACCAGAGCGTGTTGTCCCTCATAAGTAAACCAGAGAATGTTGTCCCACATGAGTAAACCTCATTTTCTTCACTCGACAAGCTCATGATAGAAGGAAAATTAAAAGACACGTTGCAGGAAAGTAAAGTTTCGACTGAGAAAGTTCACTCTGGCTAGAACTTTATCAACGCTGTGTGAATGAAATCATATTCCGCAATGAGTGTCTTTAGTTCACTATTGTCTTCAGTGCGACATTTGGATCCTCTGTGAAACAGACTTACGACGAGAAGGTAGTGTATGCTGAAAATACGTAAATAACACGTTTCGCCCTCCAGGAACTTTATCAGTTCACACGTTTACGTCAGGTTAAACTAAAGTTGATAAATTTAGTCTCTGGTGAACGAGACGCCATCACAATAAAATATCGCAAAGCGCATTGTCCGTCTTATTTACTAGTTAATCTTTCCATTAAAATTGTAAGGGGGGGGGGGGTGTTTATCTCTGCTTTATACTTCGCGTTATGACGTTTCTTGTATTTTTTTAATGGCCTCTTAGATATTTGCCCAGTCTGTGTTGCTTGGTATATTTACTAATGTTGCATTTGTTTATATGTGCACACTTGGCTGGTGTGTACATGTAGCTGGTGTACATGTGGCTGATGTGCACATGTGCACTTGCAGTTCGGGGTGGAGCTCACGTTCATTGCGCTGCCCTGCACTCGCCCTCAACCCCAGCCACATTACCACCCAAACATGTACACCCCATCAACCACAACCCATGTACCCCATCCACCTAAACATACGTACCTCCCTTCCACTCATAAAAATGTCCAGCCACACCCTTCTTACCTTCCCTCTCTCACTTTGCAACCCGCTTGAAGTATGCTGTAAAAGAGCTCTTGATACAAGGAATTAGGGCCATTCCTATCCCCTTGGATCACACTGGATTACCTCCCATTTCTTTGTGAATTGTTCCAACCACGATATTGTGACTTCTGTTCTTCAGGGAAGAGTAGTTGAAAAATTGTCTTGTCCCAGCTAATCAAAACAATTCCTCGTCGGAGAATTTCACCTTCGTGGTCTACCACGAAGGTGAGATGCTGAGACGAAAGCTAAACTGAAAAATCACCGAAAGGTACAAGACGAACATAAAAACAATAATAATAATCTTTATTTCTACAAGTACAAGGTGTACAGGCCTAGCTGGCATCAATTGCATGTTATTATATAAAAAGGGCCTTGTTATGCACAGCATTTCGGGCAAATTAGGTCAATTTTGTGTCCAGGATGCGACTAACACCAGTCGACTAACACCAGTCGACTAACACCAGCGACTAACACCAGTCGACTAACACCAGTCGACTAACACCAGTCGACTAACACCAGTCGACTAACACCCAGGTACCAATTTTACCGCTAAGTGAACAGGGACAATAAAGATACATCTGCACTGCTGAGGGTTACACGGAAAGAGCGTAGTCGAGAACACAAGTAAACTTTACTCTCTGAACATACTGCTGGTAAAACATTGCATGTGATAAGCCACTGATGAACATGATTCTGAAATAGCGAGACAAAATTAGCTCACACAGGAACAGATATTTGCAGTATCTATCACCCGAGTCAAGAAGTAAACAAAAAAACAGAGAGAAGAAAGACAGAAGGCAGGAGTCCAGCGCTCGTGTCTTCAAATTTATTGAATTAAATACGCTATCCATAACTAGGCTTCACCTCCATGATTCCTGTGTCTCTTTATGACTGACACAACCTAGATTAATATTATTGTTATTATATAGTCAACGAAGACTCGCTAAAACTTTAGGGAATATAAAACGCCTTGGGTATAGGAGGTACTCAGGTGACTCGGTATTTGTACCGAAATCATACCGAATTTCACTATCGATATTTACTACTGATGGAATTTTTACTACTCACTCGCCATGGGTTCAAATCCCACCCGTTCTGTGGCTTGTTTGCAATTGTGTTATTTCGATTTTGTGAATCATGTATGCATGTTGATACGTAAGACACACGTGCAACAGAGAGGTAACTTTATTCCGAAACGTTTCGCCTGCACTGTAGGCTTCTTCAGTCGAGTAAGTTTCGCCTACTGTGTAGGCCAAACACTTGGGAATAAAATTACCTAACTGTTGCACATGTCCTACTTATCAACACATCGGTATTGTATACCATGATCATATTCATGCATACATGTAAATAAGTATACATGGTGTATAAACAAGGAAGATAACTGATGAGGTATTCATACTGTTACCAAAGGTAACATCCTCTCATATCCTCGCCTTTCAGATCCCCATTAAATCAAATTCCCATCCTGTCAGGTTCCCGTCTTTTCAGGTTCCCATTCTGTCAGGTCCCAGTCAAGTCAGAATCTGGCCTATCATGCTCACATCGTCAGCTACCCATCTTGTCAATCATTCAAGACAATACCTATTGTAAGATTGATCTAAAAATGCTCAGAATACCACCAAGGCAGCAGAGGGTACTAAACTGAAGAACGACCTTTGCGAGCGAACCTATTGATAATGTTTGCAGGCGAATCCATTGACGACATCTGCAAGCGAACCCACTGATGACCTCTGCAGGCGACCTCTGCAGGAGAACCCTTTGATGACCTATTCATGGAAGAATATTTATGACCCATGCAGCTGTTAATAGAACCAAGGAAGTACACATATTAAACGAGCGGGTCCATAGCTTGTCAAAAACTCGTGTCATGGTATATTTCTCTGCCTCCTGGCTATTAGGTATTTCACTGCGGGACAACTTTACCTTATAAAAAAAACGGTTATATTTTCTGGCTCTCTAATATTTATTTATTGCTGTCACTGAAATAATTCAGCATTTTTTCTGACGTAATACAGTGAAATGTTAAATCAATTAAATATTTAACACAGAGATAAATAATGGTGGTGTTAGTAGTGATAGTAGTAGTGATAATAGCAGTAGTGGTAGTAGTAGTAGTAATAATAGGAGGCCTTGTTTCAGACTAGGCCTCCTAAATTTAAGAGGAAATATTACTAAAATAACAACTGGTATGAAACATCCACAGGAAGGTACACAGAGTGTATATAGAATGTAAGTAGAGTAAGATGTACCTGCCATCTAACTTGCTCCTTACTTACAAAAGACCAGTAATCTTGCCAGATCATAATAATAATAATAATAATAATAATAATAATAATAATAATAATAATAATAATAATATTGTTATTATTATTATTATTATTATTATTATTATTATTATTATTATTATTATTATTATTATTATTATTATTATTGTTGTTGTTGTTGTTATTATTATTATTATTATTATTAATATGTTCAATCTTACAGACACAAGACAGCACGGATACAGTCAGCACGGGCACAGTCAGCACGGGTACAGTCAGCACGGGTACAGTCAGCACGGGTACAGTCAGCACGGGTACAGTCAGCACGGGTACAGTCAGCACGGGTACAGTCAGCAGTCAGCTGACAGAGTAAAAATCTACAAAATCGCCTTTTCTTGAGCCTTCAACATGAAGGTGACAGCTGTGTGCGTGGCAGCAGCAACACTGTGCACAGCCGCTCTGGCCACTGTCTCTGTTCTTGGGCCCTCCATGCCCCTGCCCAGCCACTCCATTCCCCTATCCAGCGACTCCTCTTTGGAATCCTCCAAAATACGCCAGAAGAGGGATTACGGTATCCAGGCGGTGAGACTACTTTCCTTTTGTTATGTTTTTTCAGGAGTACAAATTTATGGTGTATGTGTTCCCAGTACCCCGGATGTATAGCCTTCGGCACACAGTCGAAGTTCCCGGGTTAAATCTTGGGCGGGAGAAAGCCGAATGGATGAGTCTTCTATTATCTACTAACCCTGTTCACCTAGTGCATAGTTACCTGAGTGTTAGCTAGCTGTGGTGGGTGACATCTTGGGAAAGATGTCACCCACCACAGTCCTCATTTTAAATATGCTACACTGACTGGCTTTCAATGGTTAGCCTGGAATATACCTGGAGATACCTGGAGAGGGTTTTGGGAGTCAACGCCCCAGTGGTCTGGTCTGAGACCAGGTCTTTATTTGATAGGTCTGATTTATATATTCAGTCCTGCTGAGCGCTTCCACTCTTGTTTTATCATGTCTCTGCCCTTCTCGGCAATCATAATAGTAGGAGCATTTGTATTTGTATTGGTAATAAATGGCATTATGGAGGCATCCACTACTCTCAGCCCTCCCACTCCACGAACCATCACTGTATGATCCACCTGCGTTACTATTCTGAATAAATTCTTCTCTTCTTTCCTCTTCAAATACTTAGCGTGACAGTTCAGGAGAACAACCTCTGTAACTGAGTTCATCTCGGTAGTGTCTCTCGATTACTGACCGGAGGATCGAGGCTCCACCACCTTGCGCTGAATCTCACACGGGCTTAGATCTTCACATAGAAAAGGCTCACTCCTCTTGCCCTGGTCTGAGGAGCTTTCTCCAAAGCATCTTGGGAATTTTTAATTTGTTCGACCCACAAGGCACAGGTCATGACCTGCCATGTTCACAGTGACTCTGCTCTCCTGTACATATTGTTTACATGATTCTATTCATTCACATATTTTAGTACGTTTTCAGAGTTGATGCATAGTTATATATATATATATATATATATATATATATATATATATATATATATATATATATATATATATATATATATATATATATATATATATATATATAATATATACATGTATATATATATATATATATATATATATATATATATATATATATATATATATATATAATATATATATATATATATATATATATATATTATTTTTTTTTTTTTTTTTTTTTTTTTCAACAAGTCGGCCGTCTCCCACCGAGGCAGGGTGACCCAAAAAAGAAAGAAAATTCCCAAAAAGAAAATACTTTCATCATCATTCAACACTTTCACCATACTCGCACATTATCACTGTTTTTGCAGAGGTGCTCAGAATGCAACAGTTTAGAAGCATACACATATAAAGATACACAACATATCCCTCCAAACTGCCAATATCCCAAACCCCTCCTTTAAAGTGCAGACATTGTATTACCATTTCCAGGACTCAAGTCCGACTATATGAAAATAACCGGTTTCCCTGAATCCCTTCACTAAATATTACCCTGCTCACACTCCAACAGATCGTCAGGTCCCAAGTACCATTCGTCTCCATGCACTCCTATCTAACACGCTCACGCACGCTTGCTGGAAGTCCAAGCCCCTTGCCCACAAAACCTCCTTTACCCCCTCTCTCCAACCCTTTCGAGGACGACCCCTACCCCGCCTTCCTTCCCCTATAGATTTATATGCTTTCCATGTCATTCTACTTTGATCCATTCCCTCTAAATGACCAAACCACCTCAACAACCCCTCTTCTGCCCTCTGACTAATACTTTTATTAACTCCACACCTTTCCTAATTTCCACACTCCGAATTTTCTGCTTAATATTTACACCACACATTGCCCTTAAACAGGACATCTCCACTGCCTCCAACCGTCTCCTCGCTGCTGCATTTACCACCCAAGCTTCACACCCATATAAGAGTGTTGGTACTACTATACTTTCATACATTCCCTTCTTTGCCTCCATAGATAACGTTTTTTGACTCCACATATACCTCAACGCACCACTCACCTTTTTTCCCTCATCAATTCTATGATTAACCTCATCCTTCATAAATCCATCCGCCGACACGTCAACTCCAAGTATCTAAAAACATTCACTTCTTCCATACTCCTCCTCCCCAATTTGATATCCAATTTTTCTTTATCTAAATCATTTGACACCCTCATCACCTTACTCTTTTCTATGTTCACTTTCAACTTTCTGCCTTTACACACACATTCCCAAACTCATCCACTAACCTTTGCAATTTTTCTTTAGAATCTCCCATAAGCACAGTATCATCAGCAAAAAGTAACTGTGTCAATTCCCATTTTGAATTTGATTCCCCAAAATTTAATCCCACCCCTCTCCCGAACACCCTAGCATTTACTTCCTTTACAACCCCATCCATAAATATATTAAACAACCATGGTGACATTACACATCCCTGTCTAAGACCTACTTTTACCGGGAAGTAGTCTCCCTCTCTTCTACACACCCTAAGCTGAGCCTCACTATCCTCATAAAAACTCTTTACAGCATTTAATAACTTACCACCTATTCCATATACTTGCAACATTTGCCACATTGCTCCTCTATCCACTCTATCATATGCCTTTTCTAAATCCATAAATGCAATAAAAACTTCCCTACCTTTATCTAAATACTGTTCACATATATGCTTCAATGTAAACACTTGATCTACACATCCCCTACCCACTCTGAAACCTCCTTGCTCATCCGCAATCCTACATTCTGTCTTACCTCTAATTCTTTCAATTATAACCCTACCGTACACTTTTCCTGGTATACTCAGTAAACTTATTCCTCTATAACTTTTACAGTCTCTTTTGTCCCCTTTCCCCTTATATAAAGGGACTATTCATGCTCTCTCCACCAATCCCTAGGTACCTTCCCCTCTTTCATACATTTATTAAACAAAAGTACCAACCACTCCAACACTATATCCCCCCCTGCTTTTAACATTTCTGTCATGATCCCATCAGTTCCAGCTGCTTTACCCCCTTTCATTTTACGTAATGCCTCACGTACCTCCCCCACACTTACTTTCTGCTCTTCTTCTCTCCTAAAAGATGGTATACCTCCCTGACCAGTGCATGAAATTACTGCCTCTGTTTCTTCCTTAACATTTAAAAGTTCCTCAAAATATTCTCGCCATCTACCTAATACCTCCATCTCCCCATCTACTAACTCCCCTACTCTGTTTTTAACTGACAAATCCATACTTTCCCTAGGCTTTCTTAACTTGTTTAACTCACTCCAAAAATTTTTCTTATTTTCATTAAAATTTCTTGACAGTGCCTCTCCCACTCTATCATCTGCTCTCCTTTTGCACTCTCTCACCACTCTCTTTACCTTTCTTTTACTCTCCATATACTCTGCTCTTCTTATAACACTTCTGCTTTGTAAAAACCTCTCATAAGCTACCTTTTTCTCTTTTATCACACCCTTTACTTCATCATTCCACCAATCACTCCTCTTTCCTCCTGCCCCCACCCTCCTATAACCACAAGCTTCTGCCCCACATTCTAATACTGCATTTTTAAAACTATTCCAACCCTCTCCACCCCACCCCCCACTACTCAACTTTGCACTAGCCCACCTTTCTGCCAATAGTCGCTTATATCTAACCCGAACTTCCTCCTCCCTTAGTTTATACACTTTCACCTCCCTCTTACTTGTTGTTGCCACCTTCCTCCTTTCCCATCTACCTCTTACTCTAACTGTAGCTACAACTAAATAATGATCCGATATATCAGTTGCCCCTCTATAAACATATACATCCTGGAGCCTACCCATCAACCTTTTATCCACCAATACATAATCTAATATACTACTTTCATTACGTGCTACATCATACCTTGTATATTTATTTATCCTCTTTTTCATAAAATATGTATTACTTATTACCAAATCTCTTTCTACACATAGCTCAATTAAAGGCTCCCCATTTACATTTACCCCTGGCACCCCAAATTTACCTACTACTCCCTCCATAACATTTTTACCCACTTTAGCATTGAAATCCCCAACCATCATTACTCTCACACTTGATTCAAAACTCCCCACGCATTCACTCAACATATATATATATATATATATATATATATATATATATATATATAATATATATATAATTATATATATATATATATATATATATATATATTTTAGGTAGTAGGTTGGTAGACAGCAAGCGCCCAGGGAGGTACTACCGTCCTGCCAAGTGAGTGTAAAACTGAAGCCTGTAATTGTTTTACACGATGGTAGGATTGCTGGTGTCTTTTTTTTCTGTCTCATACACATGCAAGATTTCAGGTATGTCTTGCTACTTCTACTTACACTTAGGTCACACTACACATACATGTACAAGCATATATATACACACCCCTTTGGGTTTTCTTTTATTTTCTTTCTAGTTCCTGTTCTTGTTTATTTCCTCTTACCTCCATGGGGAAGTGGAACAGAATTCTTCCTCCGTAAGCCATGCGTGTTGTAAGAGGCGACTAAACTGCCGGGAGCAAGGGGCTAGTAACCCCTTCTCCTGTATATATTACTAAATGTAAAAGGAGAAACTTTCATTTTTCCTTTTGGGCCACCCCGCCTCGGTGGGATATGGCAGGTGTGTTGAAAGAAATATATATATATATACATTATATATATTATATATATATATATATATATATTATTTATATATATATATATATATATATATATATATATATATATATATATATATATATATATATATTATATATATATATATATATGTCGTGCCGAATATGTAAAACTGGTCAATTAGCAAGAACTCATTTAAAATTAAGTCGTTTCTAAAATTTTCTCTTATACGTTTAAAGATATATTTTTTCATTAATGTTAATGTAAAAATTTTTAATTTTGCACCAAAAGAATCTTAGAAAACTTACCTAACCTTATTATAACAAGAACAATTTATTTTAGCCTAACCCAACTATATCTATTTTAGATTTGTTTACAATAATTTAATACTAAACAAACACAGTGAAATATATTTTTTTCGTTAGGTTCAGAATAATTTTGGCGAAATTATTGCATACACAAATTTTCGCTTGTCCTATATGGCAAGATGAGCGTTGCTATTTAAGCCAAGATGGCAAGTTCTGTCTATTCGGCACGACATATATATATACATTATATATATATATATATATATATATATATATATATATATATATATATATATATATATATATATATATATATATATATATATATATATATAATATATATATATATATTACAGGTAGTAGGTTGGTAGACAGCAACCACCCAGGGAAGTACTACCGTCCTGCCAGATGACTGTGAAACAAAAACCTGTAACTGTTTTGCATGATTGTAGGATTGCTGGTTTCTTTTTCTGTCTCATAAACACGCTAAGATAACAGGGATATCTTGCTACTCCTACTTACACTTTGGTCACACTTCACAGACACGCACATGCATATATATATATACATACATCTAGGTTTTTCTCCTTTTTCTAAATAGCTCTTGTTCTTTTTTATTTCTTCTATTGTCCATGGGAAGTGGAAAAGAATCTTTCCTCCGTAAGCCATGCGTGTCGTATGAGGCGACTAAAATGCCGGGAGCAATGGGCTAGTAACCCCTTCTCCTGTATACAATTACTAAAAAAGAGAAGAAGAAAAACTTTATAAAACTGGGTTGCTTAAATGTGCGTGGATGTAGTGCGGATGACAAGAAACAGATGATTGCTGATGTTATGAATGAAAAGAAGTTGGATGTCCTGGCCCTAAGCGAAACAAAGCTGAAGGGGGTAGGAGAGTTTCAGTGGGGGGAAATAAATGGGATTAAATCTGGAGTATCTGAGAGAGTTAGAGCAAAGGAAGGGGTAGCAGTAATGTTAAATGATCAGTTATGGAAGGAGAAAAGAGAATATGAATGTGTAAATTCAAGAATTATGTGGATTAAAGTAAAGGTTGGATGCGAGAAGTGGGTCATAATAAGCGTGTATGCACCTGGAGAAGAGAGGAATGCAGAGGAGAGAGAGAGATTTTGGGAGATGTTAAGTGAATGTATAGGAGCCTTTGAACCAAGTGAGAGAGTAATTGTGGTAGGGGACTTGAATGCTAAAGTAGGAGAAACTTTTAGAGAGGGTGTGGTAGGTAAGTTTGGGGTGCCAGGTGTAAATGATAATGGGAGCCCTTTGATTGAACTTTGTATAGAAAGGGGTTTAGTTATAGGTAATACATATTTTAAGAAAAAGAGGATAAATAAGTATACACGATATGATGTAGGGCGAAATGACAGTAGTTTGTTGGATTATGTATTGGTAGATAAAAGACTGTTGAGTAGACTTCAGGATGTACATGTTTATAGAGGGGCCACAGATATATCAGATCACTTTCTAGTTGTAGCTACACTGAGAGTAAAAGGTAGATGGGATACAAGGAGAATAGAAGCATCAGGGAAGAGAGAGGTGAAGGTTTATAAACTAAAAGAGGAGGCAGTTAGGGTAAGATATAAACAGCTATTGGAGGATAGATGGGCTAATGAGAGCATAGGCAATGGGGTCGAAGAGGTATGGGGTAGGTTTAAAAATGTAGTGTTAGAGTGTTCAGCAGAAGTTTGTGGTTACAGGAAAGTGGGTGCAGGAGGGAAGAGAAGCGATTGGTGGAATGATGATGTAAAGAGAGTAGTAAGGGAGAAAAAGTTAGCATATGAGAAGTTATTACAAAGTAGAAGTGATGCAAGGAGGGAAGAGTATATGGAGAAAAAGAGAGAAGTTAAGAGAGTGGTGAAGCAATGTAAAAAGAGAGCAAATGAGAGAGTGGGTGAGATGTTATCAACAAATTTTGTTGAAAATAAGAAAAAGTTTTGGAGTGAGATTAACAAGTTAAGAAAGCCTAGAGAACAAATGGATTTGTCAGTTAAAAATAGGAGAGGAGAGTTATTAAATGGAGAGTTAGAGGTATTGGGAAGATGGAAGGAATATTTTGAGGAATTGTTAAATGTTGATGAAGATAGGAAGCTGTGATTTCGTGTATAGGGCAAGGAGGAATAACATCTTGTAGGAGTGAGGAAGAGCCAGTTGTGAGTGTGGGGAAGTTCGTGAGGCAGTAGGTAAAATGAAAGGGGGTAAGGCAGCCGGGATTGATGGGATAAAGATAGAAATGTTAAAAGCAGGTGGGGATATAGTTTTGGAGTGGTTGGTGCAATTATTTAATAAATGTATGGAAGAGGGTAAGGTACCTAGGGATTGGCAGAGAGCATGCATAGTTCCTTTGTATAAAGGCAAAGGGGATAAAAGAGAGTGCAAAAATTATAGGGGGATAAGTCTGTTGAGTGTACCTGGTAAAGTGTATGGTAGAGTTATAATTGAAAGAATTAAGAGTAAGACGGAGAATATGGATAGCAGATGAACAAGGAGGCTTTAGGAAAGGTAGGGGGTGTGTGGACCAGGTGTTTACAGTGAAACATATAAGTGAACAGTATTTAGATAAGGCTAAAGAGGTCTTTGTGGCATTTATGGATTTGGAAAAGGCGTATGACAGGGTGGATAGGGGGGCAATGTGGCAGATGTTGCAAGTGTATGGTGTAGGAGGTAGGTTACTGAAAGCAGTGAAGAGTTTTTACGAGGATAGTGAGGCTCAAGTTAGAGTATGTAGGAAAGAGGGAAATTTTTTCCCAGTAAAAGTAGGCCTTAGACAAGGATGTGTGATGTCACCGTGGTTGTTTAATATATTTATAGATGGGGTTGTAAGAGAAGTAAATGCGAGGGTCTTGGCAAGAGGCGTGGAGTTAAAAGATAAAGAATCACACACAAAGTGGGAGTTGTCACAGCTGCTCTTTGCTGATGACACTGTGCTCTTGGGAGATTCTGAAGAGAAGTTGCAGAGATTGGTGGATGAATTTGGTAGGGTGTGCAAAAGAAGAAAATTAAAGGTGAATACAGGAAAGAGTAAGGTTATGAGGATAACAAAAAGATTAGGTGATGAAAGATTGAATATCAGATTGGAGGGAGAGAGTATGGAGGAGGTGAACGTATTCAGATATTTGGGAGTGGACGTGTCAGCGGATGGGTCTATGAAAGATGAGGTGAATCATAGAATTGATGAGGGAAAAAGAGTGAGTGGTGCACTTAGGAGTCTGTGGAGACAAAGAACTTTGTCCTTGGAGGCAAAGAGGGGAATGTATGAGAGTATAGTTTTACCAACGCTCTTATATGGGTGTGAAGCGTGGGTGATGAATGTTGCAGCGAGGAGAAGGCTGGAGGCAGTGGAGATGTCATGTCTGAGGGCAATGTGTGGTGTGAATATAATGCAGAGAATTCGTAGTTTGGAAGTTAGCAGGAGGTGCGGGATTACCAAAACTGTTGTCCAGAGGGCTGAGGAAGGGTTGTTGAGGTGGTTCGGACATGTAGAGAGAATGGAGCGAAACAGAATGACTTCAAGAGTGTATCAGTCTGTAGTGGAAGGAAGGCGGGGTAGGGGTCGGCCTAGGAAGGGTTGGAGGGAGGGGGTAAAGGAGGTTTTGTGTGCGAGGGGCTTGGACTTCCAGCAGGCATGCGTGAGCGTGTTTGATAGGAGTGAATGGAGACAAATGGTTTTTAATACTTGACGTGCTGTTGGAGTGTGAGCAAAGTAACATTTATGAAGGGATTCAGGGAAACCGGCAGGCCGGACTTGAGTCCTGGAGATGGGAAGTACAGTGCCTGCACTCTGAAGGAGGGGTGTTAATGTTGCAGTTTAAAAACTGTAGTGTAAAGCACCCTTCTGGCAAGACAGTGATGGAGTGAATGATGGTGAAAGTTTTTCTTTTTCGGGCCACCCTGCCTTGGTGGGAATCGGCCGGTGTGATAATAAAAAAAAATAAAAAATATATATATATATACGGAATATGATCACAGTAAACAGATATCAAAATATACAAAATATCCACAGAAAAAAAAATAGTGAAGTTCCAAGCGATTTCATGATTTCTCACATTATCAAGGAATAGTCACTATTCCTTAAAAAATCTGAGAAATCACGAATAGGCTTGGAATTTCACTATTTTGTCACTGTTTTTTTTTTCATGTATGTCATATTTTTCACTCTCGTTAGTTGCCAGAGTAAAACCATTTTTATTAATTCAAATTCTGTTATTTTTTTGCTTAAAAATAGACATAAATAAGACAATTGACAGACACAAGCATATAAGCCTCTTTGAATCTGATCATTTGACAGTATGTAACACTAATGTAATTTAACAGCATTACAGTCGTTACTTCCTAAATATTTTATTTGACCACTCGGTACTATGCGAGCATGTGACACTCTTAATATTTGGCACCTTTGTATTGTGGCTCTGTGGCCCTGCTTTTGCGCCTGGCACTGAGATCCTTGTGGCGTCCTCAGCTTACACGCTGAGGGTGGTCCGGGTATCGATCCCGGTACGGGTGTCAGAATTCTGTTGTGGTGGTGTTCTGGGGGACAAGATTAACTTAATTGCCAGATATGCTCTGCAAAACCAGGAGTTTTCTATATTAGTATGCCAATGATGTCAGCTAGATCTGTACCAGTTGTATCATGTACTTGTAGAAATGAAGATTTATATTATTATTATTATTATTATTATTATTATTATTATTATTATTATTATTATTATTATTATTATTATTATTATTATTATTATTATTATTGCAGGATATGCCAGCCAGCCCTCCGGAGACTGACAGTGGGGTCTATTATTATTACTACCCCCTGGAGGAAGAGAAGGGTAAGAAGAAGGAACTCTTCAAGGATCACGATAAGTGCACCGGAGAGAAGGTGAGAGACAGCGGGCCTTGGTTGAGGGTGAGACAGTCGGCTTTGGTCGAAGTGAGAGGTACAGAGAGCATTAATATCTTAGATAGCCATAGGATGTTTTTCTTTAAGGACTTAAAAGGCTTCTCCAACAGCAAAGAAGTTGAGTATGATAGTAATAAACACGAGCATTGTACACTAGATCACGCTCGACACTCAGAAACACATTAGGTGGCTACTGTATTAGGTACATCCATTTATTATTGGGCAGGGCCTCTCTTGACACGCAAGAACGGCCTGAACCCTTCGTGGCATGGACTCAACAGGGTGCTGGAAACATTCCTTAGCGATTCTGGTCCATGTTAACATAATAGCATCACACGGAGTGTGTACCTCGATCGAGACAGAACACAGGACGAAAGGAAGACGATGAAAGAGAGAGTTCAAAAACGAAAGGAGAAATGGGAGGAAATGAAAAAGGAGAGCAGAATAACCCAGGATCAAATGGAAGGACAAGCACACCCCCCAGAAGCACCTGCAGAAGGACTCCAGCCACGACACCCCCAAGGCAACTGAACAATCCAAACCATCCATCACACACCGATCCCTCTGTTCCCACCCCCCGCACCACAGTTACAGTATTAGAACGGAAGTTGAAGGTTTGGTACACAAATGCAGATGGATTAACGAATAAACATGAGGAATGGCAAGAAAGAATCAATGAGAAGTCCCCAGACATCATAGCAGTTACAGAAACAAAACTCACGGAGACAATAACAGATGCAATCTTCCCACCAGGATACCAGATCATGAGGAAAGATAGAAGGGGCAGGGGGGAGGTGGGGTTGCTCTGCTCGTAAAAAACAGATGGAAATTCGAGAAAATGGAAGGCATAGATGAGACGGGAGAAAGAGACTACATAGTAGGTACACTTCAGTCTGGGGAGCACAAAGTGGTCATTGCAGTGATATATAATCCACCACAGAACTGCAGGAGGCCAAGAGAGGAATATAAAGAGAGCAACAGAGCAATGGTGGACACACTTGCTGAGGTGGCAAGAAGAGCTCACTCCAGCAGAGCAAAGTTGCTGGTTATGGGGATTTCAACCACAGGGAGATTGACTGGGAAAACCTGGAGCCACATGGGGGTCCCGAAACATGGAGAGCCAGGATGTTGGACGTGGTGCTGGAAAACCTCATGCACCAACATGTTAAGGACACTACCAGAGTGAGAGGGGAGGATGAACCAGCAAGATTGGACCTTGTGTTCACCCTGGGCAGCTCAGACATTGAGGACATCAAGTATGAGAGTCCCTTAGGAGCTAGCGACCACGTGGTTCTGTGCTTTGAATACATAGTAGAGCTGCAAGTGGAGAGAATAACAGGAGTTGAATGGGAAAAGCCTGACTATAAAAGAGGGGACTACATAGGGTTGAAGAACTTCCTGCGGGAGGTCCAGTGGGACAGAGAACTGGCAGGAAAGCCAGTAAATGAAATGATGGAATATGTAACAACAAAATGCAAGGAGGCAGTGGAAAGATTTATTCCCAAGGGCAACAGTAACAACGGGAAGACCAGAACGAGCCCTGGTTTACCCGACGGTGTAAGGAGGCAAAAACAAAGTGCAATAGAGAATGGAAAAGGTACAGAAGGCAGAGAACACACGAAAATAGGGAGATCAGTCGCAGAGCCAGGAATGAGTATGCACAGGTAAGGAGGGAGGCCCAGCGACAGTATGAAAATGACATAGCATCGAGAATCAAGACTGACCCGAAACTGTTGTATAGCCACATCAGGAGGAAGACAACAGTCAAAGACCAGGTGATCAGATTAAGGACAGAAGGTGGAGAACTCACAAGAAATGATCAGGAGGTATGTGAGGAGCTGAACAGGAGATTTAAGGAAGTTTTTACAGTAGAGACAGGAAGGGCTGTGGGAAGACAGCACAGAAGGGAACATCAAGAGGGAATATACCAACAAGTGTTGGATGACATACGAACAACTGAGGAGGAGGTGAAGAAGCTCCTAAGTGACCTTGACACCTCAAAGGCGATGGGACCGGACAACATCTCCCCATGGGTCCTTAGAGAAGGAGCAGAGATGCCGTGCGTGCCTCTAACCACAATCTTCAACACATCCCTTGAAACTGGGCAAACTACCTGAGAAATGGAAGACAGCTAATGTAGTCCCCATATTTAAGAAAGGAAACAGAAACGAGGCGCTAAACTACAGACCTGTGTCTCTGACATGTATTGTGTGCAAAGTCATGGAGAAGATTATCAGGAGGAGAGTGGTCGAACACCTGGAAAGGAACAAGATTATAAATGAAAACCAGCATGGGTTCATGGAAGGCAAATCTTGTATCACAAACCTCCTGGAGTTTTATGACAAGGTAACAGAAGTAAGACACGAGAGAGAGGGGTAGGTAGATTGCGTTTTCCTAGACTGCAGGCAGGCCTTTGACACAGTTCCCAACAAGATATTAGTGCAGAAGCTGGAGGATCAGGCGCATGTAACAGGGAGGGCACTGCAATGGATCAGGGAATACCTGACAGGGAGGCAGCAACGAGTCATGGTACGTGAAGAGGTATCACAGTGGGCGCCTGTGACGAGCGGGGTCCCACGGGGGTCAGTTCTAGGACCAGTGCTATTTTTGATATATGTGAACGACATGATGGAAGGAATAGACTCTGAAGTGTCCCTATTCGCTGATGATGTGAAGTTGATGAGAAGAATTAAATCGGATGAGCATGAGGCAGGACTGCAAAGAGACCTGGACAGGCTGGACATGTGGTCCAGTAACTGGCTTCTCGAATTCAATCCAGCCAAATGCAAAGTCATGAAGATTGGGGAGGGGCAAAGAAGACCGCAGACAGAGTATAGGCTAGGTGGACAAAGACTACAGACCACACTCAGGGAGAAAGACCTTGGGGTGACCATAACACCGAGCACATCACCGGAGGCACACATCAACCAAATAACTGCTGCAGCATACGGGCGCCTGGCAAACCTGAGAATAGCGTTCCGATACCTTAATAAGGAATCGTTCAAGACACTGTACACTGTGTATGTTAGGCCCATACTGGAGTATGCAGCACCAGTCTGGAACCCACACCTGGTCAAGCACGTCAAGAAGTTAGAGAAGGTACAAAGGTTTGCAACAAGGCTAGTCCCAGAGCTCAGGGGAATGTCGTACGAGGAAAGGTTGAGGGAGATCGGACTGACGACACTGGAGGACAGAAGGATCAGGGGAGACATGATAACGACATACAAGATACTGCGGGGAATAGACAAGGTGGACAGAGATAGGATGTTCCAGAGAGGGGACATAGGGACAAGGGGTCACAACTGGAAGCTGAAGACTCAGACGAGTCACAGGGACGTTAGGAAGTATTTCTTCAGTCATAGAGTTGTCAGGAAGTGGAATAGCCTAGCAAGTGAAGCAGTGGAGGCAGGAACCATACATAGTTTTAAGAAGAGGTATGATACAGCTCAGGACGCAGAGAGAGAAAGGACCTAGTAGCGATCAGTGAAGAGGCGGGGCCAGGAGCTGAGTCTCGACCCCTGCAACCACAATTAGGTGAGTACAATTAGGTGAGTACACATACACACACACACACACACACACACACACACACACACACACACACACACACACACACACACACACACACACACACACACACACACACACACACACACACACACGCACATACACACACACACACACACACACACACACACACACACACACACACACACACACACACACACACACACACACACACACACACGCACACATACACACACACACACAGGTTTGCAACAAGACTAGTCCCAGAGCTAAGAGGTATGTCCTACGAGGAGAGGTTAAGGGAAATCAACCTGACGACACTGGAGGACAGGAGAGATAGGGGGGGACATGATAACGACATACAAAATACTGAGAGGAATTGACAAGGTGGACAAAGACAGGATGTTCCAGAGATTGGACACAGTAACAAGGGGACACAGTTGGAAGCTGAAGACACAGATGAATCACAGGGATGTTAGGAAGTATTTCTTCAGCCACAGAGTAGTCAGTAAGTGGAATAGTTTGGGAAGCGATGTAGTGGAGGCAGGATCCATACATAGCTTTAAGCAGAGGTATGATAAAGCTCACGGCTCAGGGAGAGTGACCTAGTAGCGATCAGTGAAGAGGCGGGGCCAGGAGCTCGGACTTGACCCCCGCAACCTCAACTAGGTGAGTACACACACACACACACACACACACACACACACACACACACACACACACACACACACACACAGACAGGAGGGTCAGGGGAGACATGATAACGACATATAAAATACTGCGCGGAATAGACAAGGTGGACAAAGACGGGATGTTCCAGAGAAGGGACACAGACACAAGAGGTCACAATTGGAAGTTGAAGACTCAGATGAATCAAAGGGATGTTAGGAAGTATTTCTTCAGTCATAGAGTAGTCAGGCCGTGGAATAGCCTAGAAAGTGACGTAGTGGAGGCGGGAACCATACATAGTTTTAAGGCGAGGTATGATAGAGCTCATGGGGCAGGGAGAGAGAGGACCTAGTAGCAATCAGCGAAAAGGCGGGGCCAGGAGCTGTGAATCGACCCCTGCAACCACAAATAAGTGAGTACAAATAGGTGAGTACAGTTGCTGCGGATTTGTCAGCTGCACATTCTTGCTGCTATTCTCCCATCTCATCACATCCCATAAGTTTACTCCAGATATTGACACAACCATTTGCATGTCGCAGCAGAAAGTGAAATTTTTTTGTCTACACAAAAATAAATTTTTCCCTTCACATTTCGACGTTTCAGTGTGATTTTCACCGTCCATTTATTTTGCCATGTTTGAAATTTTAGAACAGTAATGTGTTTCTCAACCTTCAGCTTCTGGCTCCGCTGATCATCATCTGCATCTTCCTGGGTATCATCGCCTTCAAGGACATTGGTCTGGTTCCCAAATTCTCTGTCCCACCCTTCACCTTTCCAGGAGTAAAAAAACCAGACATTGACATACCGAAAGCCAGGGAGTTGGTCTCCTCCTATGTCCCGTGGGATACCATTGACCAGGTGAGGGATTATAATTATTACTACTACTACTACTATTAATTTTACTACTACTGCTATTACTACTACTTTCATTACTACTATTACTACTACTATTACTATCACTACCTTTACTACTATTACTACAACTATTTCTTCTACAATTACTACTACTACTACTTCCACAACTCCTGTAACCAGTGCCATAATTATAAGGAAGCACTAAACCCGTCGAAGTCTAGAAAAATGAGAAGCAATCAAGCTTGGTCAAAGAAAGGAGAGGGAAGGATGGTTGTAATTCTTTGAGTCAAGAGCTCTTCTCCAGCATCATCCTTGAAGGTCATGTTAGGGTGAGCTGAGACATGTCGGTGAGCCAGAAAGACACTACATTTACGATGAAAGCGTTAATTAACAAAACATTGAATTCATAGTGTCGTCCTCGCTATCTATTTTCGCTAGCTGTACATTCATATATGTCTGGTGCAGGTGACGCTAGCGGTGACGGAGGCTGTGGAGAGTGAGGAGTGTCTGCCACGGCTGGTCTGTGAGTCTGGCAAATATGCTACCAGCTACACTACAGCACTAAGGTCAGTACTCCTCAGTTACTGACAGTCATGTGGCCTCTGGAAAACACATTAAATACACTGAGAAGTGTATAAACTCAATTGTGCATATACACCAAGAGTTTATTCCCTATTTTTGGAGGTTAAATAATTCTCGACTAGAAGTCAGTAGGTTTTATGCCCAATTAATCAACCAACTTGTACAGTAAGTAATTTTTAACGTCTGTCGACTGCATAAGGGTTATTAAGAAATCAGATTTTCTGGTCACTAATCAATGATTCTTTAATCTTTAAAATTCGAAATAAATTTAACTAGATTTTTTTTCATAGTCCTGCTATTGAATGTCCTATCAAAATTTTATAATGAATTTCACCATTGCATTATTGCTATTTACTAATAAAAATTAACATATAAAACATTTTCTGTTAAACTATGTTGCTGTTAAATTATGTTTATGTTAAACTATGCTGCTGTTAAATATCCTGCTATTAAACTATGCTGCTATTAAACTATGCTGCTATTAAACTATGCTGCTGTTAGACTAAGCTATTAAACTATGCTGCTATTAAACTATGCTGCTATTAACTATGCTGCTATTAAACTATGTTGCTATTAAACTATGCTGATGTCAAACTATGCTGGTGTTAAATTATGCTGCTGTTAAACTATGTTTATGCTAAACTATGCTGATGTTAAACTATGCTGCTAAGCCATGCTACCTGGAGGTTTACCTGGAGAGGGTTTCGGGGGTCAGTGCCCCCGCGGCCCAGTCTGAGACCAGGCTTCATGGTGGATCAGGGTCTGATCAACCAGGCTGTTACTGCTGGCTGCACGCAAGCTGACGTACGAACCACAGCCAGGTTGATCAGGTACTGACTTTAGGTGCCTGTCCAGTGCCTTCTTGAGGACAGCAAGGGGTCTGTTGGTAATTGCTACAGTTAAACTATGTTGCAGTTAAACTATGCTGCTGTTAAACTATGCTGCTGTTAAACTATGCTGTTGTTAAACTATGCTGCAGTTAAACCCTCTTGTTTAAATATGCTGTTGTTCCTGGAATTATAGTACATAAGTCCTAAAAGCAAAATAGTATTTATTGCGCCATTATCGCAGTTCCTTCTATTGTCTAAACTTTAGAGAATATCAGGAAAACAAATCGTTTGGTTCTCCAAAATCGTATCAAGACTTCAATGCATCAAAATTCCACTCCTTGCCGAGACAGCTGCTGTTAAGACATTACCATAATCATCAAGAAATTTCCCATCCCGTTGCAAAGTATATTAAAAAAAAAAGGGGGGGGGGACAATACCATGACTGGAACAATACTCAAATAACACGGTCCAGGAGTGACCGAAGCTTCGTCCTAAGTTTCAGTCCTCTAAATGTGGGTTATTTGTGTATATTATAACACTGTTGTCACCTTAGTAACTTTGAACACGTTGCTTCCACAGTCTGCTGGAGTTCTTTATGCCACGGAAGCTCAAAGCGCACATGGAGATCTTCAAGAATTCTGCTTACAAGATGGCTGACTGCACCAACTACAAATGCAGCTATGCAGAGAATAAATGAAAGCATATTAAATATTTGGGGAACTATGTGAGATGAAGGAGCCTTTCATACGATTTTGTGATGTCAATGCAACCTATATGCATGCCATCTTGTTATTATTATTATAATCAAAAAGAAGCGCTGAACCTACAAGGGTCATACAGCGGAACATGCCATCTAGTGTGAACCTGCACAATTTCTAAAATGTAATTCAAGTCATGGGTGTGAGACATGGGTGGTGAATGTTTCAACAAGGAGAAGGCTGGAGGCAGTGGAGATGTCATGTCTAAGGGCAATGTGTGGTGTGAATATAATGCAGAGAATCCATAGTTTGGAGATTAGAAGGTGCGAGATTACCAAAACTGAGGAGGGGTTATTGAGATGGTTTGGACATGTTGAGAGGCTGGAACGAAATAGAATGACTTTGAGAGTGTATAAATCTATAGTAGAGGGAAGGTAGGGTAGGGGTCGGCCTAGGAAAGGTTGGAGGGAGTGGGTAAAGGAGGTTTTGTGTGAGAGGGGCTTGGACTTCCAGCGTGCATGAGCATGTTAGATAGGAGCAAATGGAGACAAATGGATTTTAGGACTTGACCTGCTGTTGGAGCGTATGCAAGGTAACATGAAGAGATTCGGGAAACCGGCAGGCCGGACTTGAGTCCTGGAGATGGGAAGTACAGTATCTGCACTCTGCAGTTGAGAGTGTATAAATCTGTACTGGAGGGAAGGCAGGGTAGGGGTCGGCCTAGGAAAGGTTGGAGGGAGGGGATAAAGGAGGTTTAGTGTGAGTGGGGTTTGGACTTCCAGCAAGCATGCATGAGCATGTTATATAGGAGCAAATGGAGGCAAATGGATTTTATGACTTGACATGCTGTTGGAGTGTAAGCAAGGTAACATTTATGAAGAGATTCGGGAAACCGGCAGGCTGAACTTGAGTCCTGGAGATGGGAAGTATAGTGTCTGCACTCTGAAGGAAGGGTGTTAATGTTGCAGTTTTATGACTGTAGTGTAAGCATGCCTCTGGCAAGACAGTGATGGAGTGAATGATGATGATGAAAGTTTTTCTTTTTCCGGCCACCCTGCCTTGGTGGGAAATGGCCGATGTGTTAATAATAAAAAAAAAAAAAGAAAAAAAAAATTCAAGTCATGATACATTAATGCACTTTCACCTAACTATTAATTGTCATGGGCTCTTTCTCTGTATATAGTGTACTCTTCTTCAGGAATCTATTAACAATTAAAGGCAGGTATCTGTATGAGACATTAGTACACAGATCAGTTTGTATTATTATTATTATAATCAAAAAGAAGTGCTAGATCAGTTTGTAATGGGGCTTATTTCATTTATTTTACTTGAAAACATAAATACGTACACTCTATTTTCCATCATTTTATATACAAAACAATACTTAGTTTGAAGCACTGGGACTCTTTAGAATTACGATATGTGCACAATAAGCTACACATGTAATATTATTAATATGAATAACATTATTGTTATATGCATGTATACATTATGTGATCTTCAGTTCATTGTTACTAATTCGAAAGGTTGTCATTTCTATTGAAAAACATTAAGGAGCAGGCCTACCTTATCAAAACAAATGCTCCACATAAAATATGAAAAATGCCCTTCAGAACCTCAAGGTCGGAGAAAATCTATAATCCAGTCACCACCTTCAAAGATGCTTCTTGAAGGACGAAGTATTTAAATACTTTACTCTTCAGAAAATGCTGAGCTGTTGCTGATAGTCATACAACTCTGAATTTTTGAGGAATAGTGAACTATCTTTGCCTTTGTAAACCAAAGAAAATGCTTGCTCTCTGGCCAAGGAATTGTGTTTGGTAGATAATAGTCACCTAAACACAACACAGGGAATTACTCTTATCGTGTAATGGGGGCCAATCTCGACCAAGAACTGTGCTTGGGAGATAGTACCCCTCCCCCTCTCCTACGTCCCGAAATAAAAAAAAAAAACCAGCTTACAGAATCACCTCTCCATCCAAGCTGTGTACAGGTGACCCAGCTTCAGGGACTAAGAATGTGAAACACATGAAGCAGAGTGACCTCTTTCATTAGAAAATTATTATTATATTAAAAAAAAAGAAGCACTAAACCTACAAGGGTCTTTCATTAGACAAAGTTTTACCCTAAAGAGAAAGATGTGAAATGCTGAAAATATAAGAAGGCTGACTCTGCTACATGTGCTTCACATAAATATTTATAAAATTTATATGTCAAACTAAACCAGATGAGGTGGATCTTACATGGAAACTTGAGTTTATTGAGATCCTCTTAAATGCTGTGCTAGTTCTTAAATAGTTGTGTCCTTGACTCAAAGGCATTAAAGAGAGATACAGAGAATGTGTGTTAGAGCACTTGGTTCTCACTGCTGATGTGCAACCTGACAGTAAGGTAGTAGTAGTGTGTGTGTCCTATACAGTGACTCTGGTATGGCCTATATTACATTATATTCTAAGATGATCAATAGGAGGAGTATGTGTGGGAGAAGACAGTATTGATTTTGATTTTGTTGTGGGCTATGTGAAGACAAGAGAATATATGCCAAGGTACTGAAAGAAGGAACCATGGAAGTACTAGAGAGAGAGAGAGAGAGAGAGATGCATTATTTTTATAATCAAGGGGGAAGTGCTAAACCGGTAGGATCATACAGTGCCTGTGGGAGGATGTGGAAGGTATTCAGGCTTTATTCAGGGAACTGGAGCACAGATCCAATTCCCTAGATCAAGAGCCCCTCACCAGCATCAAGGCACCTTCCTTGAGGGGAGAGAGAAATGCAAAATCTTTATAGTTCAGGATTAAAAGCGAGGTTATGGTATTAAATAAGAATAGCTTTTCTCGGGAAGCCATCATCAAACAGAAATACGTTTTTCCAAAATAAAGTTATGATACAAATACTCTTTACTGTCATGTATTCAATATTTTTTATATATTTTACATAACTTTATACACATAGGTATGTCGAACATACTTAAAATATGACAATATTATTGATAACCAACACTTAAAACTCCACAACCCCAATAACACCAAATGCAATCCAAACACACCATTCACTCAACAAAAGATATGCCTCACCACAAAATGCACTCAGGTCTGAACATTTTTCCTACAACAATATAAACATTAGTCTATTAAAAATTCAAATTCTCTGCATATTCACATACCAAAATTTTCTCCCTCATGTATCAAAATTCCCAACATTTGATGTGCCTTAAATGAATAACTCTGTTCTTAGAAATTAGTAACTAATTCAGCAATATGGGTGACCATATCAATTATTTATAACTTTATTGTAACTATATTTACACTTGTATAATAATCATATTAATTTATTTGCTTTTAAATAAAATGTTCCATTTTTGTATATTAACCTTCTTTGATTTTTTGATAGAAGTCATTATAACCCTATTATTATTATTGTAATTATTATTAATTTCATGAGAGGCGCTTCACTCGTTGGAGTTATACAATGCCCAGGAATAAGCTATGATCCAAGGAAGGGGAGCTCTGTTTCCATTAGATTAATTAAGAGAGTGGTGAAGCAATGTAAAAAGAGAGCAAATGAGAGAGTGGGTGAGATGTTATCAACAAATTTTGTTGAAAATAAGAAAAAGTTTTGGAGTGAGATTAACAAGTTAAGAAAGCCTAGAGAACAAATGGATTTGTCAGTTAAAAATAGGAGAGGAGAGTTATTAAATGGAGAGTTAGAGGTATTGGGAAGATGGAAGGAATATTTTGAGGAATTGTTAAATGTTGATGAAGATAGGGAAGCTGTGATTTCGTGTATAGGGCAAGGAGGAATAACATCTTGTAGGAGTGAGGAAGAGCCAGTTGTGAGTGTGGGGGAAGTTCGTGAGGCAGTAGGTAAAATGAAAGGGGGTAAGGCAGCCGGGATTGATGGGATAAAGATAGAAATGTTAAAAGCAGGTGGGGATATAGTTTTGGAGTGGTTGGTGCAATTATTTAATAAATGTATGGAAGAGGGTAAGGTACCTAGGGATTGGCAGAGAGCATGCATAGTTCCTTTGTATAAAGGCAAAGGGGATAAAAGAGAGTGCAAAAATTATAGGGGATAAGTCTGTTGAGTGTACCTGGTAAAGTGTATGGTAGAGTTATAATTGAAAGAATTAAGAGTAAGACGGAGAATAGGATAGCAGATGAACAAGGAGGCTTTAGGAAAGGTAGGGGGTGTGTGGACCAGGTGTTTACAGTGAAACATATAAGTGAACAGTATTTAGATAAGGCTAAAGAGGTCTTTGTGGCATTTATGGATTTGGAAAAGGCGTATGACAGGGTGGATAGGGGGGCAATGTGGCAGATGTTGCAAGTGTATGGTGTAGGAGGTAGGTTACTGAAAGCAGTGAAGAGTTTTTACGAGGATAGTGAGGCTCAAGTTAGAGTATGTAGGAAAGAGGGAAATTTTTTCCCAGTAAAAGTAGGCCTTAGACAAGGATGTGTGATGTCACCGTGGTTGTTTAATATATTTATAGATGGGGTTGTAAGAGAAGTAAATGCGAGGGTCTTGGCAAGAGGCGTGGAGTTAAAAGATAAAGAATCACACACAAAGTGGGAGTTGTCACAGCTGCTCTTTGCTGATGACACTGTGCTCTTGGGAGATTCTGAAGAGAAGTTGCAGAGATTGGTGGATGAATTTGGTAGGGTGTGCAAAAGAAGAAAATTAAAGGTGAATACAGGAAAGAGTAAGGTTATGAGGATAACAAAAAGATTAGGTGATGAAAGATTGAATATCAGATTGGAGGGAGAGAGTATGGAGGAGGTGAACTATTCAGATATTTGGGAGTGGACGTGTCAGCGGATGGGTCTATGAAAGATGAGGTGAATCATAGAATTGATGAGGGAAAAAGAGTGAGTGGTGCACTTAGGAGTCTGTGGAGACAAAGAACTTTGTCCTTGGAGGCAAAGAGGGGAATGTATGAGAGTATAGTTTTACCAACGCTCTTATATGGGTGTGAAGCGTGGGTGATGAATGTTGCAGCGAGGAGAAGGCTGGAGGCAGTGGAGATGTCATGTCTGAGGGCAATGTGTGGTGTGAATATAATGCAGAGAATTCGTAGTTTGGAAGTTAGGAGGAGGTGCGGGATTACCAAAACTGTTGTCCAGAGGGCTGAGGAAGGGTTGTTGAGGTGGTTCGGACATGTAGAGAGAATGGAGCGAAACAGAATGACTTCAAGAGTGTATCAGTCTGTAGTGGAAGGAAGGCGGGGTAGGGGTCGGCCTAGGAAGGGTTGGAGGGAGGGGGTAAAGGAGGTTTTGTGTGCGAGGGGCTTGGACTTCCAGCAGGCATGCGTGAGCGTGTTTGATAGGAGTGAATGGAGACAAATGGTTTTTAATACTTGACGTGCTGTTGGAGTGTGAGCAAAGTAACATTTATGAAGGGATTCAGGGAAACCGGCAGGCCGGACTTGAGTCCTGGAGATGGGAAGTACAGTGCCTGCGCTCTGAAGGAGGGGTGTTAATGTTGCAGTTTAAAAACTGTAGTGTAAAGCACCCTTCTGGCAAGACAGTGATGGAGTGAATGATGGTGAAAGTTTTTCTTTTTCGGGCCACCCTGCCTTGGTGGGAATCGGCCGGTGTGATAATAAAAAAAAAAAAAAATATTATTATTATTATAATCATGGGGGAAGCACTAAACCCGTAGGATTATACAGCGCCTATGGGGGGATGGAAGGCATTCAGGCTTAATTCAGGGAACTGGAGCACAGATCCAACTGGAGCACAGATCCAATTCCCTAGATCAAGAGCCCCTCACCAGCGTCAAGGAGCCTTCCTTGAGGGGTTCCATTAGATTAAGAACCCTTCACCAGCCTCAAGTCTATGATCATAGCACATTTTATATTTACTATTATTATTATTATTAGTCAATGCAGTATTATCACAGAACAAGTGGGATTCAAAACCACGGCAAGTCAGTCCTACAGCCGACAGGTCAGCAAGTTGTCCTATGTACCATGCCAGCCTAATATGACTTGCCCAACTAAGTGTATTTCCATACACATTAGGATTACGCAAATATCACGAACAAGCGATACAAGATGCAACACAACCACGGGGGAGTTGAATGATAGCTCTAGGCCTTACATTATGCAATCAACACATCATCAGGAGCTCGAAACATTGCAGAAAAGAGGGTCCAAGCAAATACGATCACCTCAAATCTACTGCTACAGTCTCCTGTTATATTCGACTGAAGAAGCCTATTGTGCAGGTGAAGCATTTTGGCAATAAAGATACCCAGGTGTTGCACCTGTGTCATATTCATGAACATTTTAGCACAAGATTTACCTATTTTTCTAAATGATACACTTCAAATGTGCCAGGAACATTGGTTATGAATTATAAACTGAATTTAGGTGAATACAAAACTCAAAAGAAAAATTTGAAAATCATTTAATGCTCAAAACAATAGAATATTCTTTATTACAAAACTCGATGGATAGTAATTATAATCCTTCTACAAAATACAATCAATGTCCCCATACACTACATAGGCCAAATCTTCTTCCATATACAAGATAAAGCTAATACAAACAAGTGAAAATGAATACAAATTAATTTATTAAATAGTACATATTGAAAATATACTATAAAGAAACAAAACATTATATCTTTAAACAGACTAACAACTTCTGACCTCTCACTTTTAAATTACTGTACTAATTAACACAGTGCAAGTGTACAAACGACCTTGCACATGCACATACACAGACAAATTATTTATACATAAATAATTTTTTTTATTTCAATGACTATCTTGCCAAGGGAGACATACTAGTGCACTACGAGAGAAGATTTTTAACAGTGTCTGGTTCACGGGTCAGCAGAGAGCTTGGATCGTTGTAGCCATGATTGGGGTCATGGACAAGAGCATAAAGTTTGGAGTACATTGATGTTATTGCTTCTGCTGTTCGTTGTTGTAAAGTCCGACGAAAATTTGAGCTAAGCAGGAGACGTGTATGAGGGAGCATGAGATGATCAGGTGCTGCCAAGAAACCATCAAGTTTAGTCTGGAAGAGAAACAATTCACATTATTTTAAATTCACCAGATTTGATCTGTTAGTTTCCTTTTCATCTCCAATTAATAAATTCACTACCTATAAAATAGATACTAAAGATATAAAATGAGAAAAAGAAGAAAGCAATCACTGCATTAGAAGTACTGCATTTCGCAGCTTATAAGACTTGTTTCCGTTTCAATGGCTTAGCATCGGATGTAATTGGAAGAGCTGCAGCCCACCCCACACCCCAAACTTATAACTCCCATCACTGACCTTCAGTGTATAGGACGCAGGGTGGTTTTTGGAGACTTTTGTGGAAAAGAATGCGTCTAATAAGCTGTGAAATACAGTATGTACTGTTGTACAACGAAGCAATAAGTTCCTATTACCAATATCACATACATTAAACTAAAGCAAATAATGAGATGTCTTGAGTGTTGCTGGGAGATATTGAGAATGAAGAGACATCTGAACCATAAAACATAAATGGAATTAAATGATGTTTTAAAAATTCTCTGCCTGCTGACAGTTTTGGGGATCATCGCCCTCTAACAGCCTGTTCTCAGACCAAGTGCAGAAAATCTGTAATATCAACAATAACCACCAAATAAAAGTTATAATATATTGCATACAAGATTTCTTGACATACCATGAAAGCCTGTATGGCAAGAGGCTGACATGTAGGGTTCTGTGAGAGTGGTGTTGTTGGTGGATGACTGATGAAGGGATACATGCTTGCCACACCAACACTATGACAAACTCCACTAATCTGCTCCTGAGCCAGGGTATCCAGCTGTGCATCAATCTGCCCCTGCAAAATCCAAAATAAGTTTTCAACTTTTACATTATTTTCAAAATTAAGCAAATGTCTATTGATTACTGCATAAGATATGTAACTGCAATGAAATCACATACAGAACATGTACAGTAATTGCTTCCAATTTAGAAACTGTCAACGTACAGTACTATACATGATCTTATAAGTAAAACTACAAACAATTATAGACTTTTATGACCAAAGTTTGAGTTACATTTCATAGTCACATCAAAGTTTTAAAAAGTAAACACTGATCTTTTCTTTTTTGAGAGTGTAGTTGCTTGGAACTTAAGTGGAAACCAGTTTATCCTTGTCTACAGACTCAGAGATACATGTCTTGGCTACATGCAGATTTTAAGATGTCTTCATTTTAATTAATAACATGACTAGAGCTTAAACCAATATGAATAATTTCTTAATTTATGCGTAAAGCACAGACCTATAAGGCCCCAGCTTACAACGTTAATGAGTTCCTGAAAATGTATTTGAAGTACATTGTTCCTTACTCAGAACCTAGCTACCCAGAGAAACTCATGAATAATGTGTTCCCAAGGCATAGTATTCCTTTTTTTTTTTTTTTTCAACACGTCGGCCGACTCCCACCGAGGCAGGGTGACCCAAAAAAGAAAGAAAATCCCCAAAAAGAAAATACTTTCATCATCATTCAACACTTGTTACTCAATATTATACCTAGACCTACTCTTAGGGACGAAACTCGGTCGTTAACCAAGGAGTACTTGTATTCATAATTAAAGGTTAAGAAAATCTGTGAATAAAGTTCTCCTGCTATTGGATGTACGAGTCACTTGTTCATTTTTTTTTTTTTAGCAAGTCGGCCATCTCCCACTAAGGCAGGGTGACCCAAAAAGAAAGAAAATCCCCAAAAAGAAAATACTTTCATAAGTATTTTCTTGTTCAAAAGAAATTTATTTACTTGTTCATAAGTAATTAATTCATTCCAAAGTGCCAATGTCATAAGTGTAAATCATCTTAAATTAGGAACAAGTCAGTCAGTTCCCTACTATATTCTAACAGGCAACATCATTTTCAAATACTCTGACCATGTGTTCGCATCTCATTATCAAATGAAGTATGAGCAAAAATTTTATTGATAATGAATTATCCTCTTGTGACATGAGTAAGTTATGTGACCAAACCAAATACTCCACCGAGTAATACCTGAATCATCTCTAATTTTTCCCCGGTAGCATGTAGGAGAGATAAAGTTGAATGCAACTGATGGAAGCAATTTAGTAAGTAGACAGCAGATTCTACAGCTCCTAACCCCGACGCACTCTCGTTTATGGCATTTACCAGTGGATCAACTACACAGCTGACAATCTGCAGAAGTACGAAAATATGAATATGGTAACTGGGCTTATAATAATAAAAAGAATGATAATGAGAAAAAAAAGTCATGATTTGGTTCTTTTCAAATCCTTAATTTACAAATTATCTAGGAAGTATATTGCTGAAGAATACACAAATGCTGCATGAGTTTTACAAGGCCACATCTTACCATACCAAAAGAAAATATTCTGAAAAGGTTGAAATGAGCATGAGAAGGGCTTATCATGTATAGAGTGGCAGGCCTACTGCAGTGCTCCTCTATGTTTGCTTTAAGTAAATAAACTTCAAATTTTTGAGGCCAGAGGTAAGAATAATTGAAAATACATCATTTATCAGTTATTAACATCACATACATCATTGTTATATGAAATATGTAATGAGTAAAAAGTGGGTGAAAGCATATTCAAAATTTATTATATTTGTGGAAAAATGCTACACCCATACTTTTCTTACAGTGTCTAAAGAATGGGAGGTGATCAGGCTTAATCTGAGGAAGGGTAGACTAACTTCAATTCCTTAGATCAAGAGCCCTTTACCATCATCTAGGCTTCCACTTCCCTTGAAGGAACATACAAGAAATAAATGACAACAGTAAAACAAGACACAAGAGTCACTGAAACATAAATAAGAAATGAGGTTACAAAGCTATGTCATTAAGAAGAGCATCTGACATGGAACAAAAAAATAAGTAATTTCAATGATAATGACAGTGTACAGAATAAGGGATGAAAATGCATACGTAAGAATAGTTCCACACTGCAGTCTACGAAAATTGTTTTGCTTGTTATTTTTTTATTTTACCTGCTTGAAGTCATGCTGGGCATCATCTGCTATGGTTGCAGCAGTTACTACTTCAGTCAGTAGCCCGAGTGTACGAGCAACACCAGGTGTTGGAGCTAGCATTTCTCCGGGGGGCTCGATTCGTTCACTTACATGACTCACCTATGAACAAAAATTAATGCTAAGCACAATATACATTTAGAAAGGATGGAGTATGAAAATGTATAAGGATAATGCTGAGAAGAAAAAGAGGATGATGTTCATGGAATTAAAGCATGAAATCACAGATAAGGAGAAGAGGTAGGGATTATCCCAGGAAGGGCTGGAGGGAGGTGGGGGTCAAAGGAGGTTTTGAATGCTAGAGCATCTAGCATGCTCTAGGTGAACATATTACATCAGAGTGAGTGAAGACAAGTGGCTTTTATAGCTTTAATGCACTGTTGGAGTGTGAGCAATGTAATATTTATAAAAGGATTCTGGGAAATCAAAGTGGGAAGAACAGTGTGCACCTACACCCTGAAGGAGGGGTGGGGATGTTGCAGTCAGAGGGTTGTACTACATGAATTTTTTTTCTTTTTAATGAACCGGCCATATCCCATCTACATGAACTATAAAATTATGAAAGTTGCTAACAATTACTGTACAAACCTGATTTTGTAAGGCAGACATGAACATTTTGTGGCTCAGCTGGTGAAGCTCGTCAAGTGTTGCTACTAAGAGACCAGCATTTGTTACCTGCAAATAATTTAATATTTTCAAAAAGTACAAAATCAAAAAAAATTACGTGAAAACAAAAGTAACAACTGAATTTCATGTTAAGGATGCATTGCTATAATAAGTGAGAGAGTTTTTTATAGCTAAGTATTTAGTATAATATAAAGAATAATATTTGTGTCCCGTGAAATACACTAGTGGAAATACCTACGGTATAGGCAGGGTGATATTTCAACCGATCATTGATAATACACGAGTCTAAAACAGAAGATTTGCTAAATTTGGGTATAAATACAAAATAAATTAGATGAGAGTTTTAAAATATAATAAAGGATAAAAGTATATTTTAAACTTTATTAAATTTATATTTTCACTACTCAGGAGATACCATTTATAATCAGCAATCTAAATCTGCAAAAAGTCACATACCTTAAAAGAATAAAAAAATCTAAACAAAAACTGGCAATAGTAGATATCAGACAATATTAATGCCTCATTATCAAATACACATCATATGCACCAACATAAAACACAAAAATATACAACGCAATGCTCTACTGTACTAACTGCTACATCAAAAAACTAAATCCTTGTTGTAAAATCTCTAAATTTTTGTTTCTATACAGTGGAACCTCGACTTACGAGTGCCCCATCATAGAAGCTTTTCGAGATACGAGCCATCACTCAGTCGATTTTTTGCTCAGAGTTAGGAGCCAAAATCCGAGTTACAGTGAGCTTCCCCCTCAAGAAAGGTTCCTTGACACAGGTGAGGGGCTCTTGATCTAGGAAATTGGATCTGTGCTCCAGTTCCCTAAATTAAGCCTGAATACCTTCCATCTCCTCTCCCCCCACAGGCGCTGTATAATCCTACGGTATTAGCACTTCCCCATTATAAAAATAATAATAATACGTAATAATAACAAGTGAGCTTCAGAATGCCGCCACTAGTTGGTGCAGTGAACGCAACAACATCTGCCAAGCAGTGCACATATTTACCTCGCCGTGGAAGCATTTCTCTTTTGTTTTGCTTGCGTTTTGTGCAGTTATTTTGCCAAATTTGTTTTTTCTAACCATGGGTCCTAAGAAAGTAGGTGCAAAGGACAGTGCTGAGAAGAAAAAGAGGATGATGTCCATGGAATTAAAGCACGAAATCACAGATAAACACAAGCGAGGTGTGTGGGTTGTGGGTTGTAGCATTAAGAGTGTAGCAAGTAAATCAGTGAAAAGTGAAGTGAAAAAAAAAAAAAAAATTGTAGCAGTTAAGTTTAGCAATAAAGTGTAGCATTAAGAGCATAGCAAGTAAGTTAAACAATTAAGTGATAGAAAAAAGACGAAACAAAACGAACTCTTCCAATGTCGTTGTTGTTGGGGTTTATAGGGCCACTGACAGCATACGTCACTCTGCCAGCATCTCTTCTCCAAGGTAAATATGTATGTACCCTTTATAAAACCAGTTTATTTCTTTACGTTCTCTATTAGGTATTATTATGTTTTTATACAATATTTCTTATTTATAAAAACATTGTTTCAGTGTTTTCCTTATGAAACTAGTAATCTAGTGCATTTAGTCTTATAAACACTGTTTTCTCTTATAATAAGAGCATGGGAAGATATGGTCAGAGCAGGAGAGGAAATGGCTGCCACCACTCATCACAAGACATATTTTACTCATTCTAGAGTATATGTATATCATGTTTCTATGTTATTTATATTGTTTATATATTATGTCATATTAGATCTATTGTGATAGATAAATAAGCCATAGAGTTGATATTAGCGTTATATTGAAGTATTCTGTCCTGCTTCCTGAGAACAGGAATTCTGCTGGAATGAATTAATGGCATTTCAATTAATTTAAATGAGGAAAATTAATTTGATATACAAGGAAACTGTGTTACGAGCTAGATCACGGAACGAATGAAACTCCTAAGTCGAGGTTCCACTGTATTTGAGTTTAGGCTATCTTAGCTCAGATTTGTAATAGTTCATGTACTGCATAAAATAAATAAAAAAAAAAGTGAAATATACATTACTAGGAAACCATTCATTTCATATATTACGTGACCTGAAGGATGGTGTTATGATAAAATCGAAGAAGGTTGCTTATCTTGTATAACTGTACTGGCTTTTTACCACCTTCTCTTCTTTGATCTGTCACAATCATTTGCTCTATTCGTGTCTTGAGGGGCCGACACACACTTTCAGATATGCTTGCTACAGTAGATTGTGTCTGCTCTACAGGATCTGTAAATATAGAATCATAAGATTTTCCAAAAAACAAAAAAATCCATTATTGGGGAGGAATTAAAAAAAAAAATACACATCTCATCAACTTACCAATATTTGAACATTTCGCAAACAAGATCTGAGCAGCTTCCCGCTCCGATGGCAGCGCCTGATGCACCCATGCTAGCATATCACCAACATATCTCAAGGGGTCATGAGCCTGAAGCTCAATGGGTCGGGGAGAGCCACCGGGTCCACCAATGGTAAGTGCATCTAAGAAACCTCGCACCAGCCATCCTCGTCGAACAACTATCCATTCTTCAGTTACTAAACTGCAATGAAAGATTTGACTGGAATAAAGGACATTTGTAGCATTTTCTAACTTTTCATACAATACAAAGAAGAATGTAAAAGTGAAAAACAGAGACCAATTAAATTATTGAAATCTAAAGAGCTATCTATAATGTACAGAATATAAAATCACAATTTCAACATGCATCTTATGAGTCACTGCTGAGTTACATATCTGATATGAATGTAAATGCAGCCAGATCTCAATTAATTTGAGTTCAAGTAATGCGAATTTCGATTTAGTACAAAACTAATTAATGCTAGTTTCTTTCCCCAAACTCTTCAAATTGTGCACAAAAATTACATATAATTCAAATTGTGTGAACTGAAATAATGTGACCACTTCGTGGGAATTGTTATTCACACTAACTGAGACTTAGCCATACATTCATGAATTCTACCCTTAATGTGAAACATTTTTAAAGCAGATTAAGAATCAGACGTGTGCAACATCTGGGCACATATTTTTATTCCTATTACCATACTTTATAAACTACAGTAATTAACAGTTTTCATTACATACCATATATTTAAAATTCCAATCATGTATGCTCTTAAGTATACTTTCCCTAATTTTGTAGTCAAAAATAGTTTCACATGTATTTGCTTTTGAACCCACATTGTGCTAAAAATGTGAATAAGTCAGCTCAGGCATTTTGAGATTGTGGAAAACACAAGTGACATTGTTTGATTACGCACAATTTGGCCTGGGGTGACCAGGTAAACATAAGCTTTAAATGGGACAAGCAATTAGGAGATTCGTCTCCATGGCAGGATTTAAACCGAGGTATAAAATGTGGTAATATAAGATATTTCCCTTCCTGACAGGATTTAACCTAAAGTATAATAGAATATGTAATATACTAATCTTCTTCTTTCAACAAACCAGCTGTATCCCACCAAGGCAGGGTGGCCCAAAAGGAAAAACATTTGCTTCTCCTTTTAAATTTAGTAATTATATGCACGAGAAGGGGTTACTAGCCCCTTGCTCGCAGTATTTTAGTCGCCTCTTATGACACTTATGGCTTATGGAGGAAGAGGAAATAAACAACAAGAACAAGAACTAGAAGAAGATAGAAGAAAACCCAGAGGGGTATATTTAAATATACTTGTACATGCATGTGTAGTGTGACCTAAGTGTAAGTAGAAGTAGCAAGACGTACCTGAAATCTTGCATGTTTATGAGACAGAAAAAAGACACCAGCAATCCTACCATTATGTAAAACAATTACAAGCTTCTGTTTTGCACTCACTTGGCAGGACAGTGGTACCTCCCTGAGCGGTTGCTGTCAACCAGCCTACTGCCCAGGTAATATACTAATCATCATCTTTTTTCAACAAACCAGCTGTATCCCAAAAACGAAAAACAAGTTTCTCTTTTTAACTTTAGTAGTGTATACAGGAGAAGGGGTTACTAGCCCCTTGCTCCCAGTATTTTAGTTGGCTCTAACAACATGCATGACTTACTGAGGAAGAATTCCGTTCCACTTTCCCATGGAGATAAGAGGAAATAAACAAGAACAAGAACCAGTAAGAAAATTGAAGAAAACTCAGAGGGGTGTGTATATACATTTTTTTTTTTTCAACAAACTGGCCGTATCCCACAAAGGCAGGGTGGCCCAAAAAGAAAAACAAAAGTTTCTCTTTTTAAATTTAGTAATTTATACAGGAGAAGGGGTTACTAGGCCCTTGCTCCCGGCATTTTAGTCGCCTCTTACAACACGCATGGCTTACGGAAGAAGAATTCTGTTCCACTTCCCCATGGAGATAAGAGGAAATAAACAAGAACAAGAACTAGAAAGAAAATAGAAGAAAACCCAGAGGGGTGTGTGTATATATATGCTTGTACTTGTATGTGTAGTGTGACCTAGTGACCTAAATGTAAGTAGAAGTAGCAAGACATACCTGAAATCTTGCATGTTTCTTTCTTCTTCCTTCAACACACCAGCCGTATCCCACCGAGGCAGGGTGGCCCAAAAGGAAAAACAAAAGTTTCTCCTTTTACATGTAATAATATATACAGGAGAAGGGGTTACTAGCCCCTTGCTCCTGGCATTTTAGTCGCCTCTTACAACACTCGTGGCTTACGGAGGAAGAATTCTGTTCCACTTCCCCATGGAGACAAGAGGAAATAAACAAGAACAAGAACTAGAAAGAAAATAGAAGAAAACCCAGAGAGGTGTGTATATATATGCTTGTACATGTATGTGCATTGTGACCAAATTGTAAGTACAAGTAGTAGGTTGGTAGACAGCAACCACCCAGGGAAGTACTACCGTCCTGCCAGATGACTGAAACAGAAACCTGTAACTGTTTTGCATAATGGTAGGATTGCTGGTTTCTTTTTCTGTCCCATAAACATGCTAGATAACAGGGATATCTTGCTACTCCTACTTACACTTTGGTCACACTTCACAGACACGCACATGCATATATATATATACATACATATAGGTTTTTCTCCTTTTTCTAAATAGCTCTTGTTCTTCTTTATTTCTTCTATTGTCCATGGGGAAGTGGAAAAGAATCTTTCCTCCGTAAGCCATGCGTGTCGTATGAGGCGACTAAAATGCCGGGGAGCAATGGGCTAGTAACCCCTTCTCCTGTAGACATTTACTAAAAAAGAGAAGAAGAAAAACTTTATAAAACTGGGATGCTTGAATGTGCGTGGATGTAGTGTGGATGACAAGAAACAGATGATTGCTGATGTTATGAATGAAAAGAAGTTGGATGTCCTGGCCCTAAGCGAAACAAAGCTGAAGGGGGTAGGGGAGTTTCGGTGGGGGAAATAAATGGGATTAAATCTGGAGTATCTGAGAGAGTTAGAGCAAAGGAAGGGGTAGCAGTAATGTTGAAGGATCAGTTATGGAAGGAGAAAAGAGAATATGAATGTGTAAATTCAAGAATTATGTGGATTAAAGTAAAGGTTGGATGCGAAATGTGGGTCATAATAAGCGTGTATGCACCTGGAGAAGAGAGGAATGTAGAGGAGAGAGAGAGATTTTGGGAGATGTTAAGTGAATGCATAGGAGCCTTTGAACCAAGTGAGAGAGTAATTGTGGTAGGGGATCTGAATGCTAAAGTAGGAGAAACTTTTAGAGAGGGTGTGGTAGGTAAGTTTGGGGTGCCAGGTGTAAATGATAATAGGAAACCCTTTGATTGAACTTTGTATAGAAAGGGGTTTAGTTATAGGTAATACATATTTTAAGAAAAAGAGGATAAATAAGTATACAAGATATGATGTAGGGCGAAATGACAGTAGTTTGTTGGCTTATGTATTGGTAGATAAAGACTGTTGAGTAGACTTCAGGATGTACATGTTTATAGAGGGCCACAGATATATCAGATCACTTTCTAGTTGTAGCTACACTGAGAGTAAAAGGTAGGTGGGATACAAGGAGAATAGAAGCATCAGGGAAGAGAGAGGTGAAGGTTTATAAACTAAAAGAGGAGGCAGTTAGGGTAAGATATAAACAGCTATTGGAGGATACATGGCTAATGAGAGCATAGGAAATGGGGTCGAAGAGTGTATGGGGTAGGTTTTAAAAATGTAGTGTTAGAGTGTTTTATGCAGAAGTTTGTGGTTTACAGGAAAGTTGGGTGCGGGAGGGAAGAGGAGCGATTGGGGGAATGATGATGTAAAGAGAGTAGAAAGGAGAAAAAGTTAGCTTGAGAATTTTTTTACAAAGTAGAATGATGAAAGGGGGGAAGAGTATTGAAAAAAGAGAGAGGTTAAGAGAGGGGTGAAGCAATGAAAAAAGAAAGCAAAGAAGAGGGGGGTGAGATGCTAAACAAATTTTGTTGAAAATAAAAAAAAGTTTTGGAGTGAGATTAACAAGTTAAAGGAAAGCCTGAGAACAAAGGGGTTTGTCATTTAAAAATAGGGAGGAGATTTTTAAATGGAGAGTTAAGGTATTGGGAAGATGGGGGGAATTTTTGGGGGAATTGTTAAAGTTGATAAGAAGGGAACTGTGTTTTTCGTGTATAGGGAAAGGAGAATAACATTTGAGGAGTGAGGAAGACCATTTGTGAGTGGGGGGGAAGTTCGTGAGGCAGAGGAAAAATAAAAGGGGGGTAAGGCAGCCGGGATTGAGGGGATAAAGAAGAAATGTTAAAAGCAGGGGGGGATATAGTTTTGGAGTGGTTGGTGCAATTTTTTTAATAAATGTATGGAAGGGGTAAGGCCCCTTGGATTGGCGGGAGAGCATGCATAGTTCCTTTTAAAAGGGCCCAAAGGGGAAAAAAGGAGGCAAAAAATTTATAGGGGGATAAGTCGTTGAGTTACCTGGTAAAGTTATGGTAAGTTATTATTGAAAAAATTAAAGAGTAAGAGGGAGAATAGTACAGATGAACAAGGGCTTTGGGAAAAAGGTGGGGGGTGTGGGACCAGGTTTTAAGTGAAACATTAAGTGAACAAGTTTTTAGAAAAGGGCTAAAGAGGTCTTTGTGGCATTTAGGGATTTGGAAAAGGGCATATGACAGGTGGATGGGGGAGCAAGGGGCAAATGTTGCGGGTGTATGGTGTAGGAGGTGGGTTTTACTGAAACATTTGAAGAGTTTTTTTAAGAAAAATTTGAGGCTCTTAAGTATGTAGGAAAGAGGAAATTATTTCCCAAAAAGGGGCCTTAGAAAAGGATGTGTGTGTCTCTGTGGTTGTTTAATATATTTATAGAGGGGGCTGTAAAAAAGTAAATGCGGGGTCTTGGCAAGAGGTGTGGATTAAAAGAAAAAGAATCACACATAAATTTGGGAGTTGTCACAGTTGCTCTTTGTTTTGATGACACTGTGCTTTGGGAGATTCGAAGAGAAGTTCAGAGATTGGGGGATAATTTTGGTAGGGTGTGCAAAAGAAAAATTAAAAGTGAAACAGGAAAAGAAAGGTTATGGGGAAATCAAAAAGTTTTAGGGATAAAAGTTTGGATATCAGTTTGGAGGGAGAGAGTAGGGAGGGGGTGAATGTTTTCAGATATTTGGGAGGGCGTGTCAGCGGAAAGGGTCTATGAAAGATAGGTGAATCATGAATTTATAGGGGGGAAAAGGGGAGGGTGCACTTAGGAGTCGTGGGGACAAAAAAACTTTGTCCCTTTGGGGGCAAAAAAGGGGAATGATGAGAGTATAGTTTTTTTCCCAAAGTCTTATAGGGTGTAAGCATGGGGGTGAATTGTTGCAGCGAGGAGAAGGCTGGGGGCAGTGGAGATGTCATGTCTGAGGGAATGTGTGGTGTGAATATAATGCAGGAATTTGTAGTTTGGAAGTTAGGAGGAGGTGCGGATACCAAAAAATGTTTTCCCGAGGGCTGGGAAGGGTTGTTTGGGGGGTTCGGACATTTAAGAGAAGGAGCGAAACAGATGACTTCAAGAGGTATCAGTCTGTATGGGAAGGGAAGGGGGGGGTCGGGTCAGCCTAGGGGAAAGTTGGAGGGAGGGGGTAAAGGAGGTTTTGTTGTGCGAGGGGCTTGGACTTCCAGCAAGCATGCGTGAGCGTGTTTGATGGGAGTGAATGGAGACAAATGGTTTTTTAATACTTGACGTGCTGTTGGAGTGTGAGCAAAGTAACATTTATGAAGGGGTTCAGGGAAACCGGCAGGCCGGACTTGAGTCCTGGAGATGGGAAGTACAGTGCCTGCACTCTGAAGGAGGGGTGTTAATGTTACAGTTTAAACTGTAGTGTAAAGCACCCTTCTGGCAAGACAGTGATGGAGTGAATGATGGTGAAAGTTTTTCTTTTTCGGGCCACCCTGCCTTGGTGGGAATCAGCCAGTGTGATAATAATAATAAAAAAAAAGTAGCAAGACGTACCTGAAAACTTGCATGTGTATGAGACAGAAAAAAAAAAAGACACCAGCAATCCTACCATCGTGTAAAACAATTACAGGCTTCTGCTTTACATTCACTTGGCAGGATGGTAGTACCTCCCTGAGCAGTTGCTGTCTACCAACCTACTGCCTAGGTAATATACTAATTTACTTGTTAAATAAAATGCCCTAATTGTGGAACTTTTTGTATAATCTCTAAATCTCAATATTTTGTTTTAACTGGAAACTTTGAAGAGTAATGTGTTCTTTTCAATGTTTGAATAAACCCAAAGGAGACACTGACATGAAAATTAAGCTGCATATTTTGATCTCCAGCTGGCAGGTCTGATGGATGTATTTAAATAAAAAATGGTGCTTTTTGCATTTTTGCTGCATCTATCTAAATGCACAGAAAAAACACTGATTAGGTCATTACCAAAAGTAAATGCTTTTTAAATTTGTAACATTTACTAACTTAAAAAGAACAGGTCGTTCCTGGAGAGCAGCCAAGGCTTGAGTGAGCAGAGGGGATGGATCTGGTGAGCGGCACTGGGACTGACACCAGCGGTACAAGCGCTCCAGTCCAGCCTCACGACACACGTTCATTTGCTCCATCACATCTAAGGCTGTTTTCTGGTGGCCTGTCTGAAAATCAACAAATAGTGGCAATAGTTAGAAATTGAGGACTGAGCTTCCATTACTCCATTTCCTAAATGACATACATGGATTTAGCATTTCAAATAAATATATTAATAACTGAAAGAAAAGAGTTAAGAAGAATAAAATAAGATTAGAACACCTCTCAGGTAAGCGAGCAAATTACAAATTACAGAGGTCAATGAATAATTTGAGAATAACGATAGGCAACTTTTAAGTGATGTTATTTTAGATATGTAGGAAGGAAAGTGAAAAGCAAAAAGGAAAATCTATACAACAGATTATAAAAGTAAGGTGAAAATAAAGCTGTGCAATTTAAAATTACTATTATAATCCTGAAAAACCTAGGTAGTAGGTTGGTAAACAGCAACCGCCCAGGGAGGTACTACCGTCCGGCCAAGTGAGTGTACAACGAAAACCTGTAATTGTTTTACACGATGGTAGGACTGCTAGTATCTTTTGTCTGTCTCATAAACATGCAAGATTTCAGGTACGCCTTGCTACTTCTACTTGCACTTAGGTCACACTACACATACATGTACAAGCATATATATACACACACCCCTCTGGGTTTTCTTCTATTTTCATTCTAGTTCTTGTTCTTGTGTAGTTCCTCTTACCTCCATGGGGAAGTGAAACAGAATTCTTCCTCCGTAAGTCATGCGTGTTGTAAGAGGTGACTTAAATGCCGGGAGCAAGGGGCTAGTAACCCCTTCTCCTGTATATATTACTAAATGTAAAAGGAGAAACTTTCGTTTTTCCTTTTGGGCCACCCTGCCTTAGGATGTGAGGTTATCAGGTTTGATCCAAGGAAAGAGAAAGTGAGGTGAGGTATGACCAGAGCTTTGGTAAGATGGGGAAGGAAGAAGGATGGGTAAGGATGGAAAGATGGGAAAAAGGTAGGTGGGTGGAGGGGAGGTGGGGTAATAAAGGCTAATGGTACCTTCATACAATTAACAGGTGTTCCTCTTTATGATATTTTGACTTTATGATGGTGTAGTAGCAATGTACATTAACAGTGAGTACCTGTACAACATATCACTACATGTACTGTACCTGTATCATCCACAGGTAATCAAGTCAATGTACTGTAAAACTTTTTTTTGTACTATACAGTACTGTACAATTATTGTTATTGATAGGATAAACTTGCATTCATTTATTTACTTTTCAATACTGGTATTTAGTTAGTTACAGTAATTATTTTTATTTCTTCAGTAACAGTAGTTATTTATTTACTTATTTATTTATTCTTCTTCTTTCAACAAACTGGCCGTATCCCACCGAGGCAGGGTGGCCCAAAAAAGAAAACCGAAGGTGTCTCTTTTTAAATTTAGTAATTTATACAGGAGAAGGGGTTATTAGCCCCTTGCTCCTGGCATTTTAGTCGCCTCTTACAACACACATGGCTTACGGAGGAAGAATTCTGTTCCACTTCCCCATGGAGATAAGAGGAAATAAACAAGAACAAGAACTAGAAAGAAAATAGCAGAAAACCCAAAGGGGTGTGTGTATATATATGCTTGTACATGTATGTGTAGTGTGACCTAAGTGTAAGCAGAAGTAGCAAGACGTACCTGAAATCTTGCATGTTAATGAGACGGAAAAAAGGACACCAGCAATCCTACCATCGTGTAAAACAATTACAAGCTTTCGTTTTATACTCACTTGGAAGGACGGCAGTGCCTCCCTGGGCAGTTGCTGTCTACCAACCTACTACCTAGGTTATTTATTTATTTATTTTTTTTTTCAACAAGTCGGCCGTCTCCCACTGAGGCAGGGTGATCCAAAAAAGAAAGAAAATCCCCAAAAAGAAAATACTTTCATCATCATTCAACACTATCACCACACTCACACACCATCACTGTTTTTGCAGAGGTGCTCAGAATACAACAGTTTAGAAGCATAAACGTATAAAGATACACAACATATCCCTCCAAACTGCCAATATCCCAAACCCCTCCTTTGAAGTGCAGGCATTGTACTTCCCATTTCCAGGACTCAAGTCCGACTATATGAAAATAACCGGTTTCCCTGAATTTTTTTTTTTTTTTTTTTTTTTTTTTTTTCAACAAGTCGGCCGTCTCCCACCGAGGCAGGGTGACCCAAAAAAGAAAGAAAATCCCCAAAAAGAAAAATACTTTCATCATCATTCAACACTTTCACCACACTCGCACATTATCACTGTTTTTGCAGAGGTGCTCAGAATACAACAGTCTAGAAGCATACACATATAAAGATACACAACATATCCCTCCAAACTGCCATATCCCAAACCCCTCCTTTAAAGTGCAGGCATTGTACTTCCCATTTCCAGGACTCAAGTCCGACTAAAATGAAAAATAACCGGTTTCCCTGAATCCCTTCACTAAATATTACCCTGCTCACACTCCAACAGATCGTCAGGTCCCAAGTATCATTCGTCTCCATTCACTCCTATCTAACACGCTCACGCACGCTTGCTGGAAGTCCAAGCCCCTCCCCACAGAACCTCCTTTACCCCCTCTCTCCAACCCTTTCGAGGACAACCTACCCCTCCTTCCTTCCCCTATAGATTTATATGTTTTCCATGTCATTCTACTTTGATCCATTCTCTCTAAATGACCAAACCACCTCAACAACCCTCTTCTGCCCCCTGACTAATGCTTTTATTAACTCCACACCTTCTCTAATTTCCACACTCCGAATTTTCTGCATAATATTTACACCACACATTGCCCCTTTGACAGGACATCTCCACTGCCTCCAACCATCTCCTCGCTGCTGCATTTACCACCCAAGCTTCACATCCATATAAGATGTTGGTACTACTATACTTTCATACATTCCCTTTTTTTGCCTCCATAGATAACGTTTTTTGACTCCACATATACCTCAACGCACCACTCACCTTTTTTCCCTCATCAATTCTATGATTAACCTCATCCTTCATAAATCCATCCGCCGACACGTCAACTCCCAAGTATCTGAAAACTTTCACTTCTTCCATACTCCTCCTCCCCAATTTGATATCCAATTTTTCTTTTCTAAATCATTTGATACTCTCATCCCTTACTCTTTTCTAAGTTCACTTTCAACTTTCTACCTTTACACACATTCTCAACCTCATCCACTAACCTTTACAATTTTTCTTTAGAATCTCCCATAAGCACAGTATCATCAGCAAAAAGTAACTGTGTCAATTCCATTTTGAATTTGTTTCCCCCATAATTTAATCCCCCCCCTCTCCCGAACACCCTAGCATTTACTTCTTTTACAACCCATCTAAATATATTAAACAACCATGGTGACATTACACATCCCTGTCTAAGCCCAAACTTTTACCGGGAAGTATTCCCCCTCTCTTCTACACACCCAAACCCCGAGCCTCCTTTCCTCATAAAAGTTTCTTTACAGCATTTTAGTAACTTACCACCTATTCCATATACTTGCAACATTCTGCCACATTGCTTCTCTATCCACTCTATCATATGCCTTTTCTAAATCCATAAATGCAATAAAAACTTCCTTTTCCTTTATCTAAATACTGGTTCAACATTATGCTTCAATGTAAAACTTGAACTACACCATCCCTACCCACTCTGAAGCCTCCCTGCTCATCCGCAATCCTACATTCTGTCTTACCTCTAATTCTTTCAATTATAACCCTACCGTATACTTTTCCTGGTATACTCAGTAAACTTATTCCTCAATAATTTTTACAATCTTTTGTCCCCTTTCTCTTTATATAAAGGGACTATACATGCTCTCCGCCAATCCCTAGGTACCTTCCCCTCTTTCATTTTTTTTTTTTTTTTTATTATCACACCGGCCGATTCCCACCAAGGCAGGGTGGCCCGAAAAGAAAAACTTTCACCATCATTCACTCCATCACTGTCTTGCCAGAAGGGTGCTTTACACTACAGTTTTTAAACTGCAACATTAACACCCCTCCTTCAGAGTGCAGGCACTGTACTTCCCATCTCCAGGACTCAAGTCCGGCCTGCCGGTTTCCCTGAATCCCTTCATAAATGTTACTTTGCTCACACTCCAACAGCACGTCAAGTATTAAAAAACCATTTGTCCTCCATTCACTCCTATCAAACACGCTCACGCATGCCTGCTGGAAGTCCAAGCCCCTCGCACACAAAACCTCCTTTACCCCTCCCTCCAACCCTTCCTAGGCCGACCCCTACCCGCCTTCCTTCCACTACAGACTGATACACTCTTGAAGTCATTCTGTTTCGCTCCATTCTCTCTACATGTCACGAACCACCTCAACAACCCTTCCTCAGCCCTCTGGACAACAGTTTTGGTAATCCCGCACCTCCTCCTAACTTCCAAACTACGAAATTCTCTGCATTATATTCACACCACACATTGCCCTCAGACATGACATCTCCACTGCCTCCAGCCTTCTCCTCGCTGCAACATTCATCACCCACGCTTCACACCCATATAAGAGCGTTGGTAAAAACTATACTCTCATACATTCCTCTCTTTGCCTCCAAGGACAAAGTTCTTTGTTTCCACAGACTCCTAAGTGCACCACTCACTCTTTTTCCCTCATCAATTCTATGATTCACCTCATCTTTCATAGACCCATCCGCTGACACGTCCACTCCCAAATATCTGAATACGTTCACCTCCTCCATACTCTCTCCCTCCAATCTGATATTCAATCTTTCATCACCTAATCTTTTTGTTATCCTCAAAACCTTACTCTTTCCTGTATTCACCTTTAATTTCTTCTTTTGCACCCCCTACCAAATTCTTTCCCCCAAATTTCTCTGCAACTTCTCTTCAGAATCTCCCAAGAGCACAGTGTCATCAGCAAAGAGCAGCTGTGACAACTCCCACTTTGTGTGTGATTCTTTATCTTTTAACTCCACGCCTCTTGCCAAAACCCTCGCTTTTACTTCTCTTACAACCCCATCTATAAATATATTAAACAACCACGGGACATCACACATCCTTGCCCTAAGGCCTACTTTTTACTGGGAAAAAATTTCCCTCTTTCCTACATACTCTAACTTGACCCTCACTATCTCGTAAAAACTCTTCACTGCTTTCAGTAACCTACCTCCTACACCATCACTTGCAACATCTGCCACATTGCCCCCCTATCCACCCTGTCATACGCCCTTTTCCAAATCCCATAAAATGCCACAAAGACCTCTTTAAAGCCTTATCTAAATACTGTTAAACCTTATATGTTTCACTGTAAACACCTGGTCCACACACCCCCTCCCTTTCCTAAAGCCTCCTTGTTCATCTGCTATCCTATTCTCCGTCTTACTCTTAATTCTTTCAATTATAACTCTCCCAAATACACTTTACCGGGTTACACTCAACAGACTTATCCCCCTATAATTTTTGCACTCTCTTTATCCCCTTTGCCTTTATACAAAGGAACTATGCATGTCTCTGCCAATCCCTAGGTACCTTACCCTCTTCCATACATTTATTAAATAATTGCACCAACCACTCCAAAAAACTATATCCCCACCCGCTTTTTAACCCTTTCTATCTTTATCCCATCAATCCCGGCTGCCTTACCCCTTTCATTTTACCTTTCTGCCTCACGAACTTCCCCCACACTCACAACTGGCTCTTCCTCACTCCTAAAGATGTTATTCCTCCTTGCCCTATACACGAAATCACAGCTTCCCTATCTTCATCAACATTTAACAATTCCTCAAAATATTCCTTCCATCTTCCCAATACCTCTAATCTCCATTTAATAACTCTCCTCTCCTATTTTTAACTGACAAATCCATTTGTTCTCTAGGCTTTCTTAACTTGTTAATCTCACTCACAAACTTTTTCTTATTTTCAACAAAATTTGTTGATAAACATCTCACCCACTCTCTCATTTGCTCTCTTTTACATTGCTTCACCACTCCCCTTAACTTCTCTCCCTTTTTCTCCATATACTCTTCCCTCCTTGCATCACTTCTACTTTGTAAAAACTTCTCATATGCTAACTTTTTCTCCCTTACTACTCTCTTTACATCATCATTCCACCAATCGCTCCTCTTCCCTCCTGCGCCCACTTTCTGTAACCACAAACTTCTGCTGAACACTCTAACACTACATTTTTAAACCTACCCCATACCTCTTCGACCCCATTGCCTATGCTCTCATTAGCCCATCTATCCTCCAATAGCTGTTTATATCTTACCCTAACTGCCTCCTCTTTTAGTTTATAAACCTTCACCTCTCTCTTCCCTGATGCTTCTATTCTCCTTGTATCCCTCTACCTTTTACTCTCAGTGTAGCTACAACTAGAAAGTGATCTGATATACTGTGGCCCCTCTATAAACATGTACATCCTGAAGTCTACTCAACAGTCTTTTATCTACCAATACATAATCCAACAAACTACTGTCATTTCGCCCTACATCATATCGTGTATACTTATTTATCCTCTTTTTCTTAAAATATGTATTACCTATAACTAAACCCCTTTCTATACAAAGTTCAATCAAAGGGCTCCCATTATCATTTACACCTGGCACCCCAAACTTACCTACCACACCCTCTCTAAAAGTTTCTCCTACTTTAGCATTCAAGTCCCCTACCACAATTACTCTCTCACTTGGTTCAAAGGCTCCTATACATTCACTTAACATCTCCCAAAATCTCTCTCTCTCCTCTGCATTCCTCTCTTCTCCAGGTGCATACACGCTTATTATGACCCACTTCTCGCATCCAACCTTTACTTTAATCCACATAATTCTTGAATTTACACATTCATATTCTCTTTTCTCCTTCCATAACGATCATTTAACATTACTGCTACCCCTTCCTTTGCTCTAACTCTCTCAGATACTCCAGATTTTAATCCCATTTATTTCCCCCCACTGAAACTCTCTTACCCCCCTTCAGCTTTGTTTCGCTTAGGGCCAGGACATCCAACTTCTTTTCATTCATAACATCAGCAATCATCTGTTTCTTGTCATCCGCACTACATCCACGCACATTTAAGCAACCCAGTTTTATAAAGTTTTTCTCTTCTCTTTTTTAGTAATTGTATACAGGAGAAGGGGTTACTAGCCCATTGCTCCCGGCATTTTAGTCGCCTCATACGACACGCATGGCTTACGGAGGAAAGATTCTTTTCCACTTCCCCATGGACAATAGAAGAAATAAAAAAGAACAAGAGCTATTTAGAAAAAAGAGAAAAACCTAGATGTATGTATATATATATATGCATGTGCGTGTCTGTGAAGTGTGACCAAAGTGTAAGTAGGAGTAGCAAGATATCCCTGTTATCTTAGCGTGTTTATGAGACAGAAAAAGAAACCAGCAATCCTACCATCATGCAAAACAGTTACAGGTTTTTGTTTCACAGTCATCTGGCAGGACGGTAGTACTTCCCTGGGTGGTTGCTGTCTACCAACCTCAGTAAACTTATTCCTCAATAATTTTTACAATCTCTTTTGTCCCCTTTCTCTTTATATAAAGGGACTATACATGCTCTCCGCCAATCCCTAGGTACCTTCCCCTCTTTCATACATTTATTAAACAAAAGTACCAACCACTCCAACACTATATCCCCCCCCCTGCTTTTAACATTTCTGTCATGATCCCATCAGTTCCAGCTGCTTTACTAAATAATGATCCGATATATCAGTTGCCCCTCTATACACATGTACATCCTGGAGCCTACCCATCAACCATTTATCCACCAATACATAATCTAACAAACTACTTTCATTACGTGCTACATCATACCTTATATATTTATTTATCCTCTTTATATATTCTGCTCTTCTTATAACACTTCTGCTTTGTAAAAACCTCTCGTAAGCTACCTTTTTCTCTTTTATCACACCCTTTACTTCATCATTCCACCAATCACTCCTCTTTCCTCCTGCCCCCACCCTCCTATAACCACAAACTTCTGCCCCACATTCTAATACTGCATTTTTAAAACTATTCCAACCTCTTCAACCCTCCCACTACTCATCTTTGCACTAGCCCACCTTTCTGCCAATAGTCGCTTTATATCTCGCCCGAACTTCCTCCTCCCTTAGTTTATACACTTTCACCTCCCTCTTACTTGTTGTTGCCACCTTCCTCTTTGTCCCATTACCTCTTACTCTAACTGTAGCTACAACTAAATAATGATCCGATATATCAGTTGCCCCTCTATAAACATGTACATCCTGGAGCCTACCCATCAACCTTTTATCCACCAATACTAATCTAACAAACTACTTTCATTACATGCTACATCATACCTTGTATATTTATTTATCCTCTTTTCATAAAATATGTATTACTTATTACCAAATTTCTTTCTACACATAGCTCAATTAAAAGGCTCCCCATTTACATTTACCCCTGGCACCCCAAATTTACCTACTACTCCCTCCATAACATTTTTACCCACTTTAGCATTGAAATCCCCAACCACCATTACTCTCACACTTGATTCAAAACTCCCCACGCATTCATTCAACATTTCCCAGAATCTCTCTCTCTCCTCTACACTTCTCTCTTCTCCAGGTGCATACACGCTTTCTATAACCCACTTTTCACATCCAATCTTTATTTTACTCCACATAATCCTTGAATTAATACATTTGTAGTCCCTCTTTTCCTGCCATAGCTTATCCTTCAACATTATTGCTACTCCTTTAGCTCTAAGTCTATTTGAAACCCCTGACCTAATCCCATTTATTCCTCTCCACTGAAACTCTCCCACCCCCTTCAGCTTTGTTTCACTTAAAGCCAGGACATCCAGCTTCTTCTCATTCATAACATCCACAATCATCTCTTTCTTATCATCTGCACAACATCCACGCACATTCAGACTTCCCACTTTGACAATTTTCTTCTTCTTATTCTTTTTAGTAATCTTTACAGGAAAAGGGGTTACTAGCCCATTGTTCCCGGCATTTTAGTTGACTTTTACAACACGCATGGTTTACGGAGGAAAGATTCTTATTCCACTTCCCCATGGATATAAAAGGAAAAGTAATAAGACCAAGGACTATTAAGATAAAATCAAAGAAAACTCAGATGAGTGTGTATAAATAAACGTGTACATGTATGTGTAGTGTGACCTAAGTCACATCATATAAGTCATATCATATTCATATTCATAAAATTTTCAACTTACGATGGGTTCGTTGGAACATAACCCTATCGTAAGTCGAGGAGTACCTGTATAGCCATTAATCCACTTGAAATGATTTCAGACATTAACATTCTGCTTACCTGCAGTAAATATTTTGTGTTGTTTCGAATCTTCTGCGTTTTTTCTAGAACAGCAAAAAACTCCAGGGTAACTGGTGACTCCCTAGTTGAGCCCTTTATAATAGCCACTTGTTCAGGAGTTAGTTGAAAGGTTCTTACAAAGGCATCAGCAACATCTTCTTCCATGTGTAATTTATTACTGCAGAAAAGTAAAGAATTAATACAAACATACGATATACATATATTCAAGTATATAAGGTCTTTATCTCTCTACACTTTCATTGTACTGTATTCCTTATTCAACTGTTAACATAAGAATGGACATGTTCCTCCATTCCTATGTTCTAATTTGATATACAGAAGGGGTTATCAAAGACTTGACTTAAGAAATCGTAATGACACGATTGCAAATAAACCATACCCCCGGCCGGGATTGAACCCGCGGTCATAGAGTCTCAAAACTCCAGCCCGTCGCGCTAACCACTAGACCAGCTAGCCACAATAAGATTCATCCAACTAGGTATATTTCTACAAGTGTATTCTACAGTGTATTCTTCAAGAATACACTGAGAAGCTGCAAGAATCTTAGGAGGTTAAATTGAAAAAATTCAGTACAGGCATACCTCACTAATACGGCATTTGGTTTAAAGCACTTTATTAATATGGTGCTTTTCATTTATATTCATATTTATTGTTTTTGGCAGTGATGCGTGCATCAGCTGACTGGCGCAATTTTGTTACCCGTGCTCAGTCTGTTCACAGCATTTGTGCATCTTTTTTTAGGCATAGTGCTATTGCACATTTAATAATAGTGTAAACATGTTTTTAGGCATTTATATGTATTGGGAAGGGGGAAAAAAAGGTTGTGATTTGCTTTAAGGCGATATTCACTTTACATCAGTGGTCTGGAACCTACCCTGATGTATTAGCAAGGTATGCCTGTACTGAAGTTCCCCATGAAAACTCCCTTCCTTGGGGAATGAACTAACAAACCATTTCAAATGCCTTCAGCCTTTAAGGGTGACACCATGTTCAAATACCTTTATGTCAGCAACAATTACTGAAAACTGCAATGTGAATCAATTGCAAAAGAATTCCTTGAAATTTCTGGCTATCGCATGTTACTAAACACAGTCAGCTCCCTTACAAAGCTCCTCTATTCTCATGCAATTTTTTAGAATTGTGATTGAAAAAGTTCATCCAAAATTGAACAGTGCATGGAAAGGTTCTCACAGCATGTGCTATATAAGTTTTGATTTACTTTTTCAACCAGATTTACAAAAAACTGCACTAAAAAGAGGAGGTTTATTAAAGAGCTGATTGAAGGGGAAAGTGTTCCATAGAATCATGAATTTAATGGATAAATGGGTTGCCTCAAGAATCTAACAGCATGAACCTAGGACAAAAGAAAAAAGACATATAAGAGCAGGGTAAGACAACAATACAGATCTAAGATTGAGAAAAATAACCTTGAATGACAGGACAAAAACAAAATAAAAAAGGAGGCTACAAAGTGGTTCAGATTTGTTAACATTAAAATCTGTTTAGTGAGGGTAGTTAAGGCAGTAACATCAATGATATTTTATTTCCTAAAACAAGGAATAAAATTGCCAAACATCTACAATAAAGATATGCAAGAAAAGGTAATTATAATCCCAAAGAGGTTCAAGAATCTTAATATAGAAATATTACTATAAAAAATTTAAAATTTAGCCGCTGCTTGAAGATCCCCAGTAAACTGCTGCCATTAAATGTGCAACAGCTTCTAAAGTATGGGAAAACAGATAATTTTAAGTCTACTTTGTGTAGACTTACATATACAGTAGATTTTAATATACAGTGCATTAATAAATATTCATCACTGGAATATACTATACATCAAAAGGCATAATATGAGAGGGAATACACTAATTCTAAAATTCACACTGCCCCACCTTTGATTCTGCAGTGAGGTCGTCTGATGAATAAGGTGGCGTGTTTCAGATTTTGTTGATTGTAGTCTTCGCTTCATGTCAACACACACCTCATTCATGGAGCTAACCTCTGTGTATATCTCATCAACTGCTTCTTTTACATCTCGAAGGGCAAGAACAAATTCCTGAAAAAGTCATTCAATGCATATTATAAAAAGAAAATCTGAGGATGAGACAATTTTCTGACAAAAGTAAATAAAATTAAATATACCAGACTATGTGTAGTTACCTTCCATATATTCTACATATACATACACATGATTTTTCAATAATATCACCAAAAAGCCAGAACTATAAAAATGAACTAAGATAAGTAAATCTTACAGCAACAACAACAAATAAAAGACACAGAGGGACATGTCTATTTGGTGCATTTAAATACTTATTTTCCATTGATCATTCTGTCATCTTGGTTTCATCACTTACAGACTGAGAGTGTGTCTGGAAGTGGTGAAACCATGATGAGAGAATGACTAATATAAAATAAGAATTTAAATGCACCAAACAAACATAAGCAGGGAGTTACAAAGAAAAATTTAGAACACTAAAATCCAATGCTAATTGACAGGATTAAGAGAGAAGACATAACCACATCTTAGATCATAAAAGATAACAGGGAGATCAGGAAGCCTCAGCTTTCTGGCACTGCTTTTAGAAAAGCAGTGCCAAACTTATACTAGAAAACAATGCTTTACAAATAGAGTGATCGACTGCTAGACTCAAATACAAAAAGCAATTTAGTAATATGTGCTACAAACACAGGAAATCTAAAAATACTTACACTGAATACCATGAGCATAACTTTGCTCTAACTACAAACAGGTCAGTAATCCCAAGCGTAAAGACACAAACTGTCTTGCAAAACACATTACATGCATTTACAATGGCAAGTTTTAATAAACATAAGATACACAAATAACCTGCATATAGGAGAATGAAACTTAAGCTTCATTCTCCTATGTGTGGGTTATTTGTGAATTGTTCCAGTCGTGGTACTGTGCCTTTTTATTTGAAACATAAGATACACAATACAACTCTGATTATACATAGACTTCATAAATTAAAAATAGTAAAAACATGTGACTACTGAAATTTTTGAACTCTTGATTGTAGCTAAACTAGTAGGTGTGTCTGACTCTTTACTGATAGTGTCACTAAAAACTTAGTAGCACCTTTTATATTATTCAAGAGCATGTCATTTACAAGTGACATTTACTGCAAATACCATTAAATTTGCTGATGTTTCATTAATCTGATTAATAATTATCCGATGCTTCCATAATTCACATCCGTGCATACCTCACTAATTCCAACACTTCGCTTTTCAATTTCACCTCTCAGGTTCCTGCGACTCCTTAATGTGTTCTCAGAGAAGAATGTAGATAACTCCTTCAGTGCATCAAGTGTGTCCTGAAATAATTTTCAAACACAATAAATGAATAAAAAATTAGACCTACTATGTCTTTTATTTCCTTTCCCAATCATTTCATAGAGATTATGCTGATAATATCTACAGTCTTGACTTCATGACTTTGTTTTAAGTTATTAAGTGAAATTCATTTTATTCTGTAATGAATTTTTAGCCACATATTCAGAAACTTTTAAACTAAATTCTCCAAAATTAAAATTTAAGTAATGTACAGAATATATAATGTAGCTCCATACTAAAATAATAAATTTATTTAACATAGTCATTATTATTATGATTATAATTGGGAAGCCCTAAACCCATGTTGAAATCATACAATGCATGGAAAACAGGAGGCAATCAGGTTCAATCCAAGGAAGGGGAAGTGATACACTGATAAAGGGAGGACAGGTCCAACCCCTTGGCTCAAGAGCCCTTCACCGGCTCTTAATACACAGAATTGGCTCTGGAAGGGTGATCCACATAAAGAATAATTTAATTATTGTATTAATGGAGAAACACTAAACCCATATGAGTCACACAGCGCCTGTGGAATGGAAAGTAATCAGGTTCGATCTAAGGAAATGGAGATCCGTTCCAATTCCCAGGATCAAGAGCCCTTCAGCATCAAAGGTAAATAAATAAAGAATTAGAATACATGTCTTTCTTGGTGACACACTGTCTTTCTGGGGTTATCCTGAGTGGCTAAACCTCCGGGGTTAAAAATCAGAACCAATGTACATTATTATTATAATCAAAAAGAAGCGCTAAACCATAAGGGCTATACAGCGCAACCAATATACAACACACGACCATCTCTCAGAGGTGCCACCCTGGCACTTTAGTGGGCCACCTACACGAGCCCTATGATAACACTTGGGCCTCGGTAAGAGGCAGAACGTAAGGTACCTTGTCATTTTCTAGCCTGGTTTCAAGAATTTTGTTGATCTTCCTCGAGAGGGGATTATTGGGGAGCTTTTCATTGGTCTCGGCTGCCTTCGTGTCACCTGCCATCTTGTTTGTGTTGTTGATGGATGTTAGGGCCACCACACCCGCCGTCGTATATTCACTACCTTATACTATTAAAATATAATAATAATAATAATAATAATAATAATAATAATAATAATAATAATAATAATAATAATAATAATAATAATAATAATAATAATAATAATAATAATAATAATAATAATAATAATCTTTATTTCTACAAGTACATATACAAAGTATACAGGCCTAGCTGACATCAATGACACACTGCTATATAGAAAGCCCCTTGTTATGCAGAGCATTTCGGGCAAATTAGGCAAATTTTGCTCCAGGATGCGACCCACACCAGTCGACTAACACCCAGGTACCCACTTTACTGGTGGGTGAACAGGGTCAACCGGTGTAAGGAAACACGCCCAATATTTCTACCCTTGCCGGGAATCGAACCCAAACATTCAGCGTGTGAAGCGAGAGCTTTTGCCACCAGGCAAAGAAGACCGCAGACGGAGTATAGACTAGGTGGCCAAAGACTGCAAACCTCTCTCAAGGAGAAAGATCTTGGGGTGAGTATAACACCCCTGGCAAACCTGAGAATAACGTTCCGATACCTTAGTAAGGTACGTCAGGCCCATACTAGAGTATGCAGCACCAGTTTGGAACCCACACTCGATCAAGCGCGTCAAGAAATTAGAGAAAGTGCAAAGGTTTGCGACAAAGTTAGTTCCAGAGCTAAGGGGAATGTCCTACGAAGAAAGGTTAAGGGAAATCGGCCTGACGACACTGGAGGACAGGAGGGTTAGGGGAGACATGATAATAACATACAAAATACTGCGTGGAATAGACAAGGTGGACGGAGACAAGATGTTCCAGAGAGGGGACACAGAAACAAGGGGTCACAATTGGAAGTTGAAGACTCAGATGAGTCATAGGAATGTTAGGAAGTATTTCTTCAGTCATAGAGTAGTCAGGAAGTGGAATAGCCTAGCAAGTGAGGTAGTGGAGGCAGGAACCATACATAGCTTTAAGATGAGGTATGATAAAGCTCATGGAGCAGGGAGAGAGAGGACCTCAATTACTGGGAGCGCTTGAGGTTCCTAAACCTGTATTCCCTGGAACGCAGGAGGGAGAGATACATGATTATATACACCTGGAAAATCCTAGAGGGACTAGTACCGAACTTGCACACGAAAGTCACTCACTACGAAAGCAAAAGACTTGGCAGACGATGCACCATCCCCCCAATGAAAAGCAGGGGTGTCACTAGCACGTAAAGAGACCATACAATAAGTGTAAGGGGCCCGAGACTGTTCAACTGCCTCCCAGCACACATAAGGGGGATTACCAACAGACCCCTGGCAGTCTTCAAGCTGGCACTGGACAAGCACCTAAAGTCAGTTCCTGATCAGCCGGGCTGTGGCTCGTACGTTGGTTTGCGTGCAGCCAGCAGCAACAGCCTGGTTGATCAGGCTCTGCTCCACCAGGAGGCCTGGTCACAGACCGGGCCGCGGGGGCGTTGACCCCCGGAACTCTCTCCAGGTAAACTCCAGGTAGCTATCAGTGAAGAGGCAGGGCCAGGAGTTATGAATCGACCCCTGCAACCACAAATAGGTGAGTACAGGAAGTCCCAGAGATGTCAATAGAATTGATAGGGAACAGTGTAGTAAAGAAAACGAAAGCCAGACTGACGTTCCTCTACAGACAAGCACAGTGTCTACCTACTGAGGCTCGTAGGACCCTATGTCTGGCCCTTATACAGTGTCATATGGATTACGTTTGCTCTTAATGGTACTCTGCCTTGACAAAAAAAACTGAAAGATAGACTGCAAATCACCCAGAACAAAATGGTAAGATTCATTCTGGACCTGGGTCCAAGAGAGCATGTAGGCCAGAATGAATTACAACAGCTGTATATGCTGAATGCTGAAGACAGAGTAAAACTCCTGAAGTTAAATCAAGTTTATAAAATTGCTCACAGTATCCAGAATATCTTGCTGACAATTTTGTTAAGGCTGGGAACCAAAGCAATCACAGTACTAGGGGGAGAGAACACAACTTTGTAGTATATACAGTCAGTGGCCAGGCTTCGAACACCTTTTATCATACAACAATAAAGGAATGGAACAAACTGCCTGCATATGTCATAGCCAGTCATGACATGAACCAGTTCAAGAAGACAGCCAAGAGGTACCTAATGAATGTAGCGACAGAAAGGGAGGAGAATGATTTTTTATTTTTTTAGCTAACACGCATGTAATCTTCCCTTATTCCTAGTATATCTCCTTTATAGTATAATAATAAGACATTATCACCTTTATAGAATAATGATAAGATATTATCTCTTTTATATAATAATAATAAGGTAAAAGGACCCCAATGGAAACAAGTCACTCTGTCTGACTTTTTAGGTTATCCCAGGTTCTCTACATTTATACTGCTATGTATGATAATCTATGTAACTGAATTTGTGTAATCCTGAATAAACTTACTTACTTACATTTGGAAGTTGAAAACTCAAATGAGTCAAAGGGATGTTAGGAAGTATTTCTTCAGTCGTAGAGTTGTCAGGAAGTGGAATAGTCAGGCAAGTGATGTAATGGAGGCAGGAACCATATATAGTTTTAAGACGAGGTATGATAAAGCTCATGGAGCAGGGAGAGAGAGGACCTAGTAGCGGTCAGTGAAGAGGCGGGGCCAGGAGCTGAGTGTCGACCCCTGCAACCACAAATAGGTGAGCACAAATAGGTGAGTACATATACACACACACACAGCTGAGAGGTATGTTCTACGATGAGAGGATAAGGGAAATCGACCTGATGACTCCGGAGGACCGGAGGGGTAGGGGGGACATGATAACGATTTATAAAATACTGAGAGAAATTGACAAGGTGGATAAGGACAAAATGTTTCAGAGATGGGACACAACAACAAGGGGTCACATCTGGAAGTTGAAGATTCGGATGAGTCACGGGAATGATAGGAAGTATTTTTCCGTCACAGAGTTGTCAGGAAGAGGAACAATCTGGAGAGTGATGTAGTTTACCTGGAGTTTACCTGGAGAGAGTTCCGGGGTTCAACGCCCCCGCGGCCCGGTCTGTGACCAGGCCTCATGGTGGATCAGGGCCTGATCAACCAGGCTGTTACTGCTGGCTGTACACAATCCAACGCGCGAACCACAGCCCGGCTGGTCAGGTACTGACTTTAGGTGCTTGTCCAGTGCCTGCTTGAAGACAGCCAAGGGTCTATTGGTAATATCCCTTATGAATGCTGGGAGGCAGTTGAACAGTCTTGGGCCCCTGACACTTAGGGGTGCTAGTGGCACCCCTGCTTTTCATTGGGGGGATGTTGCATCGTCTGCCGAGTCTTTTGCAGTCGTAAGGAGTGATTTTCGTGTGCAGGATCCACACATATCTTTAAGAGATACGATAAGGCTCACTGAGCAGGGAAAGAGCGAGACTAGTAAAGACCAGCGAAGAGGCGGGGGCCAGGAACTGTGAATCGACCACTGCAACCACAGATAGGTAAGTACACACACACAGGGAGTAAATCAGGCAAGCGGCAAAATGAGAAGCAGGGCCAAGAGCTGGGCCTCGCCCCCTGCAATCACGAATAGGCGGGTACACACTAAGACAAGAAGCTAAGACAAATACCAGAGAATCAGGCAGGAATAACAGGGAGGGCACTAGAGAGGATGAAGGAATGCTTAACAGGAACAAAACAACGACTGACTGTCCGGGAAGAGGCGTCGGAACGGTAGTGTGACGAGTGGAAATCCCGCCAATGGTATGGGTCAACGCTGGCATTCTTTTACTTTGCCTTTGAGAGAATTTTTCCCTATCATCTAACGCTAGACTTGCAACATTTCATAGCTCCTGACGCAGGAGACTGCAAAAGCTCTTGCGCTAAACCTTTGCATACCAGTGTGGCTTGTTTTACATTATTAAGCTCGCTTGTTTGTGATTATTTACATAATCAAAGACGTGTCGCCAACTAGTGACTTTTGCAATTCAGTAGAGATGATGTACGGCGACATTAGAGGATGAGACAATTAGTCCCTCTGCGTTGCAGAACTAGACCCAGAAGACAGTAAAATATGAGGTGATCTGTCTCTCAACCTGGAAGCCGGAGTTCAGTATCTTAGTACTGATGAATCTTAGCCAGTGTTGTAGACTTATATTGTAATAATACTTGTCGGCTGTTGTGCCGGAGATTGGAATTCCAGCCGAGGTATGTAGCCTGGGTTCTGGTAAACGACATTCAGGGGAAAAAACTGGGAAATCAACATTTGGAGCTGTTTCCAATTTCTCCGTATATCCTATGATAGAATATTCTAATGTTAGAGTATGAAAGGAATGAAAATAAGGATAGTGTGTTAGGCAAATGGACAAATATAATACATTAATGGCACTTTATTGCAGGCTATTTTTCGCTCACATTAAGGCTTGACAAAGCTCCTGCCGAGAGAAATGTTTCCTAAATGTTGTATACGAGTTCATTCACCTCACTGTAATATCATTATTGGTTACCAGTCATAAAACAGTACTAGAGAGCAGGTGGTATCTGTGAGTTAAGATGGCTAGTAAAGTCGATGTGTGGCGGCAGCAGTAAATTATTAATTAGAGATTTGTGCATGGGAGGTGTGTACGTTGGGGTGTGTGGAGGAAGACTATATGAAGGTAATGTACTGTCGAAATTAGCATTGTATGATGCTTTTTAAGTTAGGGGTTGTCGAGATCCCATTTGAGCTTTGTCTCTCCCATGAATGGGTATATGGCCTCAAATGTTTCTGTGGTCAGGGCAGTGGTTTGTTGTCTCCTGAAGAGGAGGGAAGGGGGTGTATGTATGTACAGATGGGGTAGTGGAAGTATGCGAATTAGACTAATAGAAAAAGGATATTGTGAAGGGACTATAGGATGGTAGGAAGTTTTGGACTGCCGTTTTTTCGAGTGTTTGAAGATGGTGGTGGATGCATCAAAGGAACCGCCGAAGAAGAGTGTTCTGGTGGAGAGTATAAACATTGGCAGAGATCAAAGAAGTAGGAACGACAGCGGAGAGGATTTAATAAGAATGTTGGGCACCTCTGGAATAGGATATTCATAATATTTTTTCCCTTGGAGACGAAGCTGGGTTACCGACCTACTGTATGACAGGCAATCTTTTTCATTTAAGATACTGTAATTCGTTTTCTCAGAGGATAACGGGGTCACCAAGACGAACACACAGGATGTTCTTCTCTGTAGTTAAGACGAGAAGGAGGTTG